GCCTTTTAGGCTCGTGCGAACGAGGAGCTTTGGTTGTCGCCTTTTATGCTCATGCGGACCAGGAGCGTTTGGTTGTTGTTGTGGATTTGTCAAGCGGTCTGGGAGAGGCGTTCCTCGCAATCTTCATAGGAAGGAGCCTTGACCGAGTAATTAAAGAAGTCTTCTGGGAAGAGGTCGCACATTGTGATGGGGATGGACGATCTTTGTGTCGAAATTTCATTATCTCCAACATTTTCACTTTGTTCTGGAGGTTGACAAGAGCTGTTTTGCCCCCTTTTCGACTGATAAACTTGTGGACAAGATGGTTGCTGCTTGTCCAATTTCTTCGAAGCGATCTTCGAAAGGCATTCCTCACAATCTTCATAGCAAGGAGCCTTGATCGAGAAATTGAATAAGTCTTCGAGGAAGAAAAGATCCCGCATGAACGATCTTTGTGTTGAAATTTTCTTATCTTCAACATTTTCACATTGCTTTGGAGGTTGGCGAAAGCTGCTTTCCCCCCTTTCTGATTGGTGCACTTGTGGAGAAGACATATGTTTCTCGTGCAGTTTCTTCGAAGCGACATGAGTCCATCCTTCAATTTCACTTGACTTGGAGCATGCCCCCAACAGTCGAGGTGAAGACTTTGAGTCGAAAGAGCCAGAAGTGACATCTTTCTTAGGGATTTCATCTTCAGTGCCGTCATCTTGGGTTTGTTGGCATGAAGATTTGCCAGTGTGGACGATGATGCGCCTCCTTACCTTCAGTGGTCCTTTTGTATCGACCTCTAGGATTGCTTGGCGCTTCATCCTTGAAGGAATCAAGCTTCGAACGTCACCTTTTTCTGCTAGCCCATCGAACTTTTTTTCCTTTGGTGTTGTCTTCCTCTTTCCAAAAGGCTTCTCATTATCTTCAAATGTTTCCGAAGCTGATCGTCGCAGAGGAGAGATAGCTGTGTTGCTTTGTTTCTTAGGCTTTAACAACCTTTCAAAAACAGAGCTTTGGGATGTTGGCGTGCTAAGCCTCTTGAAGACAGAGGTTCGGCCTTGACTACCAATGCGATTAAGCACTGAAATTCTGGAGCTTGAATGACTCATCCTATCGAAGACCGACGTCCGAGGGGCGGGTTTAGGCTCTTTTTGGTCTTGTTCAATGCTCACGCTGATGTGTTGAGCGCTAGCTTTCTTCACTTTGCTTGAAATCTTCACAGGTGCATTTGGTGTGAAGCCAAGTCCGGCTTTGTTGTTGTCAACTCCGTAACCATGCTCTTTCAACTTCTTTTGAGTTTTGGTGAGGTTACGTTCTTTGTCATTGACGGTGTTTGAAACCTTATTTCCAAGTTTTGAAGAGGAAGCAAAGTCATGCCTAGCCTTTGACATGAGTTCGTAGGCATTTGGGTTAAAGCCTTCTTCGGTCTTCTTAGTTGGAAGAGAGCTTGGTTTCATTTTGACGCCATGCTGTGCCTCCAGACGGTTGATGAGTCCGGCGGTTTGCAAGTTTTTCTCCTCTGCAGTCTGTGTGAGCTTTGCGATTGCTTCATTCATCTGAGCCAGCTGCTCCTCGATTGAAGTTACTCTAGTGGTCATGACTTGCATGGTTGTATTGCTGCTCGAATCAGCGTCGGAGAGTAGGGACTCTGAGTATTTCCTCAGGCTTTCCCCTCTTGATGCCCTTAGCGAGGCTAGGGTGATCACAGGCTCGTGCCTCAGGTGCTCTTGTTCCTTTGACAGAGTTAATGCAGGGGCGGAAGCTGCGGCAAAAAGAGCTCTTGCCTTACTTCGGGTTATGGTGCCCGAAATATCACCACTTGCGGCGATGATGTTCTTGTTCTTTGCTTTGATTGCAGGAACAGCTTGATCCTTTCTTGATGCCATTTGCGTTTTTCGATGATTTGAGGATAGAGATGAAAGGTAGAGATGTCCCACCGGGCGTGCCAAATTTGTGAACACGAAAGTTCCTTGAAACAAGAAACAAGAATAACGTGTACAAAATAATATTTTGTTTGATGATTTTGGGGTTACGATCTCTCTCAAATTTGGTCCTCTGATTCTATCTTCGTAGGGTGTAGGTTTGTGGATGAGTTGTTGATCCAAAGGGCCGTCGGGGCTTGATCTAAGGATGAACAGTTGATGAACGGATGAACACTTTCTTCAAGGGCCGTCGGGGCTTGATCTTGAATAATGGTTGTGTGGATTTCTTCAAGGGCTTTTGGGCTTGATCTTGAAGGTTGATGGAAGTTTCTTCAAGGGCCTTCAGGGCTTGATTTTGAATGTTGATGGATGAGCGGATCTTCAAGGGCTTTTGGGCTTGATCTTGAAGAACGGTTGGTTTTCTTCAAGGGCCGTTGAGGCTTGATCTTGAATGAACAGTTGGTTTTCTTCAAGGGGGCTTTTGGGCTTGATCTTGAAGAATAGATGTGTGGATTTGTTTGTTGATCCAAGGGCCGTTGGGGCTTGAGCTTAGGATGAACGAATGATGAATGATGAACGCTTTCTTCAAGGGCCGTTGGGGCTTGATCTTGAATAATGGTTGTGTGGATTTCTTCAAGGGCTTTTGGGCTTGATCTTGAAGGTTGATTGGATGTGTGGATTTGTTTGTTGATCCAAGGGGCCGTTGGGGCTTGATCTTAGGATGAACGGATGATGAACAATGAACACTTTCTTCAAGGGCCGTCGGGGCTTGATCTTGAGTTGGTGGAAGTTCTTCAAGGGCCGTTGGGGCTTGATCTTGAAGGAGGATTTGACGAAGAATGAAGAGTGCTTTCTTGATCCTTCGGGATTTTCTTGAGAGCTTTGGAGTTTCAAAGCTTCAAGGATTTGGGGAATTCTCTCCCAATTTTGGAGTAGAGAAATGTATTTGTGAATTCCTTGATGCTTGATACCTTGATGGAGAAGCCTATTTATAGGCTTTGAGAATGAATCACCACCACAAAATATTTTTTTCTTTTCCAAGCACCATTGCCTAATTTTCCCACTTAATGCAATATTGAAATTGAAGTGGTGTAACTTATTGCCTAATTTCCCACTTAATACCATTTAAAACTTGAAGTGGTGTAATTTATGGCCTAATTTCCCACTTAATACCATTTTAAACTTGAAGTGGTGTAACTTATGGCCTAATTTCCCACTTAATACCATTTTAAACTTGAAGTGGTGTAACTTATGGCTTAATTTCCCACTTAACACCATTTTAAACTTGAAATGTGTATGCTTTGTCATTACCCAAATGAGAAAAACTTGCTTTGATCCGTAATGGATTGAAGTATGCTTGCCTTGTCATTGCCCAACATGAGAAGAAAAACTTGTTTTGATCCTCAATGGATTGAAATGTACTTGCCTTGTCATTGCCCAAAATGAGAAGAAAAACTTGTTTAATCCTTCAAGGGTATTTCTCCCTATTTTGTTGAGTCACACGCCATGTGTACAATTTGTACAACACGTGGCGTATGCCATGTATGCCTTGACACGTCAAAACTTTAATGCATTGGTGAACATTTGTTTCACCGAAATTTCGATGTCTACAATCGTCTTAAAAACAGATGAAAATCCGCAGGGACAAAATCATTGATTCGATGGACGCATTGCATGGAACCCATGCCCTCATCTTACAGGTGACATCCTCCAGGATATCCCAGTTTGACGCTTCAGTCTGAGACTCTGCGTAGGTTTAATTGCCCATGCCCAAAGGTGAAATAGTAATTTTACTTTCAAATATAGTCTAAAATTAAAATAAATTTCAGTTAGTCAATTGGATGGGTGACAAATATCAATATTGTGTGATATTAATCTTTCACTAAATTATTTAAGAAAACTAATGAAAAGAGTTTGAAATTTTTTAGTTTTAACAATAAGAACAAAATAAAGGGTAAAGTGAATAATATCATGATTGATTTTTTAGTGTAAAAATATGATTTTTTGTTAAAATGAACGATATCGGAAGATTTTCATTAAAGTTCTAAATTATTTATGGTTCTATGAGAAAGCTTATCAATTCTAATGCCCCCATTCGTCCATCTCATTGACCATTATTTCACATAAACTAAAAAACTTGAACAATCCAAATTTCTTTATTTCTCTCTAGATCGGTCCGAATCTCTTGGTCCGTGAACTTCGAACACATAAATTCGAAGTAAATCTCATTCCAAAACTGACGTACCAAATTCATACCACTGCACCTAATATATATGCTATAATTACATAACTATAAAAAAAAAAACAAAAAGACCACTCATCCTCCCCTTCCCAAACAAAAACCCATTAAAATGAAGTCAATCTAATGGGATTTTTATTTTATAAAAGAGAATCAAAAGCAAAGTATTTCAGAAAAAAAAGGGTTGAAAGCAACAATATTTGGTTCCTCCACTGTATATAGCAAAGATCTATACAATCGTATCAATATCAATGCTCATAAAAAAGGGTCGAAAGTCCATTGATTATTTGGAAATTTTTTTATAAGATTTAAAAAAAAAGAAAAAAAAAGAAAGACAAACTAGTGATTTCGCCATGACGTATTTCATATGATTAATCCATTAAAAAGAAAATGAGAGGCCGGCTTGAAATTCAAAATATGAAAGGTCAATATATGGTGCAATTAATAAAAATGGTTAAAGGTTGCGCATGTTTTCATTGCCATAATCGGATTCGATGGACTATTTTAAATATGGTTCATGATTTGCGTGATTAATAGCAATAGCATTTTTTTCTAAAAAAATATGTTATGTTTAATGTTTTTCGTTTAATTAAACAAAAAAGACATTATATTGTAATTTCTAAATTATTTTTATTTACAACGAGAATATTCAAACTCAAATTTATAGCTTCTAAGACTTAAAACGTGATGAACACATTACTCTAATTAACTGATCTACCGGCATTTGTAAACGAACTGTTTATACTTCATTCATTTTGTTTTACCGTCCCTAGCCAGCTAGGAGCATCACAAAAAGCTCCACTCTAATTTGGTAAAAAAATTTGCATCTAAAAGACAAAATTACCATTTTATTTTGTAGACAGAGAAACAGATAGACTCTAGAGAGAGAAAAAAAAACACAAACACGAAACACAAGCAGAAGCACATCCTTGATCCTTCTACTCTCGAAATCTCGTTTCTCGGGCCATCAGCTCACGAATATCAAGACCGCCCGTCCGTTTTCCTGTTTTGCCCCTGCATATTTCTCTACTTTTTTTTTTCTTTTTAATTTACTAAATTTTATTTCTTTCTCGTTTCTGTGTAGAGAGAGTGCTCCTTTGCTTCCTCGAGCGAGCGAGAGTCCCCAAAAGCTCCAAAATTTACACATGGCTGCTTCGATCTATGCCCTCCCCAGTTGCATATGAATCTCATAGAAAACCAAACCCATGTAACCAAATTTCACCCTTTTGCTTAAACCAGTATTTAATTTCCTTAATTAATTTTTTGGCTCGTTAATTCGATTGTAATTTGTAATCACATGATCATCGAATTCTGCAAATGGGTTTTCATCCGTGTGCTGGAAAGTGTTTTTCTTTTTGAGAATTTGGGTTGTTTTTAATTTTCGTTTGGGGGTTTTGTGCATATTTTATTGTGATTTTTATACGTGGTGGAAGACCAGGTTCAATGGGTGTGGATTGGGATCCATGATGGATCCCTTGGTTTTTGTTTTACTGCTAAAGTTACCATATTTGTTTAATTTAGCAAGTATTTTGTGTTGAACTGCTCTTGGATTCTGTGTTAATGGTGTTTTTTTTTTATTTGAATTTTGTGTAGTTTCTCTTACTCCATAGGGTTGCTTGTGTGGAGGGGGATTACATTTTGGCACGTTGCCTGGGGTTTATAATGCTGGTTTCTTGATGTGGAATCTGATGGGTTGAACTCAAAGAATAATGGGTAGCTTTAGTGGAGAGGAAGAAGATTGTGGATTCTTTGATGCAGAAGAGGAAATTGCATCGACATCCGATGCAGGGTCTGAAACCATTGAGACATTCGATTCCAATTCTTCCTTCATCAATTGGGTTCCGGCTGGTTTTCCCTATGATTTGTGGAATAGAACCCCGGGAAGTGTTAAGGACCGGCGGGCCAAGTTTCTGGAGTGGATGGGACTGAGCGTGGATCAAAGTTTGGGGGAGAATTCTGTGGAAATAACGAGTGATGTAGCAGGGGTGGTTGAGAGAGTTGGAGAGAGTAGTGGGGCTGTGTTGAGAACCACCTCATGTTTTGAGGATGAGTTTTGTTTGAGTCGGTCATTTGTGTCTTGTCGGTGTAATGACCATTCCAATTCCTCAATTGAGTTGGATTGGAAGGATGATTCTGCATGTAGAGATGGGAATTTAGGGAAGCCTTTGGAGTGTAATGCAGATGAAGTGAGGCTGGATCCGAATGCACGTGAAGGTCAAGAAGTGACCGAAGAGTCTAAGCGCACTCCGTGTTCTTCATCTTCATTGTCTCAACAATTGATGGAGAATCGAATGGAGGAGGCGAACGCTAGAGCTGGGATACTGAAGAGAGTTAAGAAGGGGTGGTTAGGTAGGTTGCGGTCAATCACATGCCTTGTTGATACGCATGGGGAGGATGATGAATTGGCACACAATGGCAATGCTGCAATCATGGGGTTCAGGGCACAAAGAGTTAAGGTTCACCAGTGCAGGAAGCGGTTGAAGGAACTTTCAGCTCTTTACATGGGGCAAGATATCCAGGCACATGAGGGCGCAATTTTGGCAATGAAATTCAGTCCCGATGGACAATACTTAGCGAGTGGTGGCGAAGATGGGATTGTGCGAGTCTGGCAAGTAGTGGAGAATGAGAGATGTGATGAACATGACATTCCGAAAATTGATCCATCCTGCATTTACTTCACAGTGAATCATCTCTCTGAACTAAATCCACTATTTTCGGAGAAGGATAAAATAGGCAAATCAAGTAGCCTTAGGAAAACATCGGATTCAGCATGTGTTATTTTTCCTCCTAAAGTCTTCCGGATATTGGAGAAACCATTGCATGAGTTTCATGGGCATGGTGATGATATATTGGATCTCTCTTGGTCAAGTAGTAATGTAAGTGATTATTTTTATTGCAGCTAAATTTCTAGTAATCTGGAAAATATTTATCATTTTACTGATACATGGCAGAATGTTTAATTTGGTTTTGTGTTAATTTGTTCTGAATGCAGCATCTTCTGTCATCTTCTATTGACAAAACTGTTCGTCTTTGGCAAGTTGGATGCGGCAGTTGCCTCAAAGTCTTTTCCCATAGTAATTATGGTGAGCTTCTTCAATTGTCTATGATTATATAGAACTGGAAGATCATGGTCTCTTATCTTATAGTGTATGGAGTTGACCTCTTACTATTTTTCGTTGGTATCGTGCAGTGACCAGTGTTCAATTTAATCCAGTGGATGAGAATTACTTCATCAGTGGTTCAATAGATGGCAAAGTACGTATTTGGGGAATTTCTTGCTGCCAAGTTGTTGATTGGAGTGACATAAGAGATATAGTTACTGTGGTGTGCTATTACCCTGATGGGCAGGTTTGGTGATTTTCTTGCCCTTCAGTTATGTAGGAGATGTATATGTATGCTAACATATTAAGTAATGGTTATTCAAACACCGCAGGGAGGAATTGTTGGCTCAATGACAGGCAGTTGCCGCTTTTATAATATATCAGGTATGCTTTAACATTCTACACCTGCATTCCTCAGCCTCCTCCGTTTTGTTCACCTCCTTTGCCTAGAAACTGAGTAGGTGCCGCTGCTCACTTTGAGCTTGTACTGATAAAGTAGTTATGTGTGTCTTGGAGCAGATAATCTTTTGCAATTGGATGCTCAATTATGCTTGCAAAGTAAAAAGAAGTCTCCGTGCAGAAAGATTACAGGCTTCCAGGTAGTTACTTCCTTCCTGCTTTGTTTTCGTTTTGTTTTCTTTTACACATCACTTTACCTATCCATCTGGGATCTGAAGTTCAGTAATTTTTGTTATTTTATACAGTTTTTCCCACAAGATTCGAGCAAGGTGATGGTCACTACGGCCGATTCACGAGTCAGAATTCTTCATGGTCTTACTGTGGTCGGCAAGTATGCCGGTAGTTGCATAACTTGGTGTTTTTATTTGTAATAGTTTCTTTTTTTTATTGGTTTCCACCACTCTGATTTTCCATTGTGCATATCATAAGAAAATTTGATGCAAATGTTAGCATGCAAACGAGTTTTTCTCTCTGTTTAGCATCTGACTGATGAATTTCATACATTTCTCTTTTCTAAACCTTGTCTCTCGTCTCTTTCAGGACAACGAAATGCAGGGAACCAGACATCTGCTACATTCACTTCAGATGGGAAACATATAGTCTCCGTTAGTGAGGATTCTAGTGTATATGTATGGAACTGCAGTAATCATGAAGAACGAGTTCTCTCTCAGGCAAAAAAGATCAGATCTTGTGAGCGCTTTTCCACAAATGTTTCTGTGGCGATACCTTGGTCTGGATTTAAATGTGGGACCGTAGAAAATGAGAGGCAACTTCAGGCTGCTGATGAGAATTTACAGGAGACTCTGCCTTTTTCCGCATGTTTTTCTCTCAGCCAAGATTCTTTCCTTGAGTCTATCCCGAAGGGATCTGCAACTTGGCCAGAGGAGAAGCTTCCAACTTCGAACCCACTGGCAAACCAATCTACTATGCTCATATCCGAGTACAAGTTTTTTAAAACTTCTTGCCAGAACACATCCAGTTCTCATGCATGGGGTATGGTTATTGTTACTGCAGGATGGGATGGACGGATCAGATCGTTCCACAATTATGGTTTACCAGTACCCGCTTGATACTATAGTGGTCTTCAGCATGGTTTTCAGAGAATTGTAGCTATCCCCTCTGCAGCACTCTTATCGCGTAGGTGCCTGCTTAGTCCTATTACAAGACGCCAATCTAATGGATTGATGTGTGACATCACGTTCGGCAGCATCAATGGCCACAACAGGGTCAAGTTGACATTTCTAGCAGGCATGTGCACGATCGATGACAGATTTGGTTCTCCGATGGGGCCATTTTATGTCCAGACAGGTGGCTGATATTCCATGGTTGTAATGTAATCCAATTCGGATCAGCCAGTGGCCAAGGTTAGCTTGTCCGGATAGTTTAATTATAATCAATGTGGGATGCTTTTGGTCTGCCGGTTCTCAAATTTTAGATGTGAAGTCATTTGTTAGGAGAAAGCCAATGAGATATGACATCTATATAATGCAGGTGCCTGTGGGCCTTGTAGAACATCTTTGTTCTCTAAGATGGATAGGGATTCAAGCGCTGGTGGCTGGAATTCGTTTGGGAAAAAGATGGTGGGGAACTCCACCATTCCATCGTGTTCGCCGGTCAGAATGATTGAATTGTTTGTCTGCCAAATCTTGTCCGTTTCATGGTAGGGTCGATGAGCTTTGGCTGGCAGTGGTAATGTGCAGGAATCCATTTCGTCCGAAGTGGCTCGTTGCCTCGGCCAGGGGCTGGAAAACTGAGACTATCCACTCTTTCGGAGAAGGCATCTCTAACAGGAATACGATTTGCGGCTCGAGTCCATGAATGAGCACTCCTAACCGGGTTTTCTTCGACGTAGACCCTTGTATATACTTACACTGTCAGTTTAGTCTAACACCAGCTTAGTCTAGGCTCGAATCGGTAGCGATTTTGTTAACTTAACAGGAATACCTTTTGAGATTTAGTTAATGTAAACTGCAAATTTTCTTTCTCATTTGTAAGTGGAATATTCATGTGGTTTTTTCCTGCATGTTCATACTCGAAACTGAATGGTAATACTACGGTAGAAAAGTACACAATTACACAATTGATGTGTCTTCCTAAGTTGGACCCAAAATTACTTGCCTGCACCGGGGACGCCACTTTTTACTAGTTCAATTCCCAAACCTAAAATGTAATGTCGTGTTTTAGTTTTTGACATGACAGTGCGTGCAACTGAGAACAAATTTTAAAATTTAAACTCATTTAATGAAGATAAATAGAATGGTGAGTATTGCTGTCGTTTGGGGGTGGTGAGCAAAAAAGCACCTTCAAAAGAAGGGGAAGTCGGATTAGCATGTTCATTGATATCTGTTGGCCTTGTTGCAAATATTGGGTGATACGTAGCCCATATATCCAACCCATTCCTCGAACCACTGCATTATGAAACCTAAGTCCGAAACAAGGCCTATCCATAGGCCCAAAATGAGTGATCCAATTGTCCAATCTAATACATCCCTCAGCCTCGTCAATCGGCATTCTATGAGGTGGAGGATTCGAACATGAGTTCAAAATGTCGTCTTGTTTTAACTAATTGGACTAACCTCCATAGTTGTTGTCTTTTGACATCTTACGAGGTGGGGAATTCAAACTCAAGTGGTAAGACCATAAGAGGCAAGCACACTACTCATGCCATCACCAACTTGTTTAACCCATCACATGTCATCTTTCGTCATTCTACGAGATAGGGATTCAAACTCAATAGTAAAGAGGCAAGCCAACTACTATGACACGACCACAACTCGCCATCTTTTGCCATTCCTCGATATGGGATATTCAAACTCCAGTTAAAATCATATTATACTGTTATAACTAACTGACCCAATTCACATTTACTAAACGTTCTTAACTAACCCATTCACAATTTCACATTCAAAAACACACATTATTCTCTATAGAATAATCACAATAGAAACCAAATAAAGAACGACCCCGAGCCAACAAAGCCCCTGCTTTGCGATGGTCGGGAAACGTCTATCAAAACCCTTAAAATTCCCAGAAGGACTTGTCTTCTTCCTTCCCATGGATACCAATTGCACATCCCTTGGAAGAGAAGCAACAAACAACACATAGAGATACAGTTTCAGATCATGCCAACCATGCAATCAATATATCAAGGCGAAAAAGAACCCATCAAACAGAAACGAGAGGAGACCTTTTTTACCAGTCCACGTTAACTGTTACATGTTTACAACAACACATCACATCCAGGCAAACAAATTCACCAGCAAGAAAAACATTTTGAATTTAATCATACAAACCAACCCCAATTAATCCAAAAAAAAAAAAAACAAAACTTCATGAAGAAAATATAATCCTAGAGAGAGAGAGAAGAAGCAAAAACGACCCCAGTTGATCCGATGCACCCATTCAGACGGGGAGGTTGACGACGTCTTTTGGTGGGGGGGTGGAGGAGGAGGAGGAGGAGGCGGAGGAAGAGGAAAAAATGTAGTGAGGGCGGTGGTCGCTGAGGTTGACGGAGCGGGAGGCGAAGAGCATGAGGGGGCGGTCGTGGGCCTCCTCGGGGTTGGTTTCCTGGTCGTCGGAGGTGGAGAGGTTGATGCAGGAGCAGCGCTCGAGGGAGGTGAAGAAGGCGGAGGCAACGTGGGTCCCAAGCCAGCTGGCGACGCCGTTGATCTTCTCGTACGACAGGCACGAGCTCTGGCTCTGGCTCTCCATTGTCGGAACAAACTCTTTGTTTTTTTTGGCAGTGGCAAGTCAGAGAAAGAGAAACGGAGGAGGCCCGATCCCTCAAATATACCAATAAAGTCAAGGGCCGATTCCTCCGACCGTTTCTCCGCCCTTGTCCTTTCGTTGTCTGTTGTTCCTTGTCCTTAGGAACTCGTTTTTACCAATATATTTTTTACTTTTTTTGTTGTCTTTACTATTTATGTCTAGGCATTATTTTTGAAGCATATACTAGTATTTGCCGGCATCTTTTTGTTTTTTGTTTTATAAAAAATCAGCAGTTTTGTCGGGAGAATTCTTTTTTTTTTTTTTTTAAAGCGAAAGACTCACAAAAACATTACAATTTTTTATGATCACTATTATGTGATATACTAGTGTCAATAAGTAATTTAAAATGTGTCATGTAGAATACGGGTCTAGAATCCACAACCACCACTAAACTATCTCGTAATGGTTATTTGCCAGCGTCATTTGAGAAAAAACCAAATTTATTTGTATGTTTTTATTTAGGATAATATCAGGAAAACTAAATTTATAAATTAAATGTTGGAAACTAAAGGACATATAAGTTGATTGGTTTATTATAAGTGTTGATAAACGTGCTCATTTCCATTATTGACACATCATTTAATTTGTGAATTTAGTCTCCAAATTTAATCTTTTTAGCATTACCCTTATATTTACTGACTTTGTGATTCAACGGCATATAAGAGTGAGCAAGTATTTAGACAAATGTCTAATGTTTTTTTATTTTTTTTTAAATGGGGACAACTAGTGGCAAATCATGGTTATCCACTTCTTTCGGGGGTCGGGAAGACTCACATAGGCATTTCAGCCTTCCATGACCACAAGTCTGAAGTCCACACCAGCATCAGATTTCGAACCTAAAACCTCTAGTTTTTAGTTTAAATGAAACCTCACAATCCGTCTTTTACCACTAGACCACCATTGTGAAAATATTATCTCATGTAAAAACGTGTTGAAAGGTATAACATAAGAGTTACCCCAGGGGATAAGGCTAAGGGGAAATGGCTTTCATTGGCGTCAGACACGATCCCACGTGTCACGCCACGTCATCTTGATCTTCGGGAACTAACCGGAAAGAAGAACGAAACGGATAAGATGAAGAGAACACCTTTGTCTTCCGAAAAATGGCTGCTTCACTTTCTTCAGCGATTCCTCTGTCTCGAACCGGCGTTTCTCTCCAATTCTCCCACACGAAACGCCCGCAATTCCACTCCCCCACGCGTGTATTTTGCTCCGGTAAGCCTTGTTTTGGTGAATGTTTATAAAGATTGATTATTTTATTTTATTTTATTGGTTATGAAAAACAATTTCAAGTTCTGGGTTTGATTGTCTATAGGTGTTATATACAATGACTACGTTTAGAAGTACTTTCATAGAAACACTTGTTGGAGAAACTCATTTTAGTAGATATATATATATATATATATATATAAGCATTTTTCTGCATAGTTTTGGATCCTGCATTGTACTGCAAAATTTGCAGATTTGGATTCATGTTTTGGTTTAATTGGTGGGTGCGTGCAGCTTCTAGGGATGGTCATGAAATAAAGGAAGAACTGAGTCAGTGGAAGCAAGCTAAGAATGTAGCTTGTGGGATTCTTGCTGTTTGGGCCGTGACTACCGCTGCCTCACCTGTAATTGCTGCCGGTCAGGTTTGAAACCCTCCAATTCCGTATAATTATTTTTCACTTGGCTTGCTTTTGGTGCCGTTGCCTTACGATTTTGTTATCTTCATCATCTGTTCATGAGAGATTTGAGTTCCCATGTTGAGCTGAATCTCATTCCGTTCTCGCGCTTTTCTTACCTCCGAATGTCTTTTAGCGTTTTCTATGGTAAAACAAGATCATCTATACAAAGTGAGGAACACAACATCAGCCTGTAGGACAATCGAGAACCAAGCAAAACTAGGACATACAACCAGCTATAAGCGATAACAAACTCACGTTAAAGTTCCACACAAATTTCTCTATTAATAACTTCAGGATGCAAAGTTTTTTCATGAATCGGGAGACTCCTTTACACCAAATGTGATAATCGGAAATCTTACTCTTTCCTTTGCCGCGATTTTATCCAATTAAACTCATCACGACGAAGATTGTGTTGAGAGTTGGCCGTCTAGGCTCAGAAATTTGTCTAGCCTTAGTTGGAAGACTGTCACGAATAAGCTACCAAGAAATAAACCCTGTTTTGGAATCACGGTAGAGAACCAGATAAGTCTGTACCCGTCCACTTTACAAAATCCATTTATGGCATGAGCAGAGATTCAAGATACTTTGTAAGTTTTTTCGTTACATTGCCACTTCTAGTATTCTCTTTTTAGCGAATCCTTTGTGAATGGCCCGTTTTCCCTTATTATGTTTTCTTTCATCTCTTATGAAATGCCACATGTTGCATCAAATAAGCAGGAGCCAAAATGTCACTAACCAAATTATAAGTTACCAGTTTTAACTTCTTATAGCTGTGATTATGAAAAGTTGATAAACTGACTTCTTCTGTATCCAACAGAGGTTGCCTCCACTGTCTACTGATCCAAAGCGATGTGAGGTTGCATTTGTTGGAAATACGATAGGTCAGGCAAATGGAGTTTACGACAAGGCAATTGATCTCCGCTTCTGTGACTACACAAACGAGAAGTCCAATCTTAAGGGAAAGAGTCTTGCTGCAGCACTCATGTCCGGAGCCAAATTTGATGGCGCGGACATGTCAGAAGTTGTGATGTCGAAGGCTTATGCTGCAGGAGCTAGCTTCAAGGGTAAGCTTGCATATCATCCCTTGATATCAAATGCACACAGCAATGGTGATTACCAATTTTTCTCTCTTTTGCAGGTACCGACTTCACGAATGCAGTTCTAGACCGGGTTAACTTTGAGAAAGCGAATCTGCAAGGAGCTTTGTTTGTTAATAGTGTCTTATCAGGTTCCACCTTTAACGAAGCAAACCTTGACGGTGCAGTTTTCGAGGATACCATTATAGGGTACATTGATCTTCAGAAAATTTGTAGAAATACATCTATCAATGACGAAGGAAGAGCTGCTCTAGGGTGTCGATAATTCAAGGTTCGTCTGTTTGAATATAAGAAGCAGCCGCGCGCGAACACACACACGGTGCTCAATGCATTTTCGTTCTGTATTTCGAGTTCATTTCTAGGCATTTTAACTGTATAGGCCTATATATAGTATCCTACTATGCTGCATCTGCGTATGAGTACCGATCATCCGAAGACAGTTTTGTTGTCGTGTTTTCTTCTTTGTTATGGCTTTCAGTTCGAAATATTCATCTTTTCTCTGTCAAATAAATGATATCCGCACGCTCTTTTTCTTCTTATGCACAAACTCCGTGGCCCTTGGATTGCATAAATCAAAAAAAAAAAAATCAAGCGACAAAAATAAACAATAGAAAAACTAATAAAAAAGCTTGAAAATTTTGAGTTTTAACGATAAGGACAAAATAAAAGGTAAAGTGAATAGTATCAGGATTAAGTTATTAGTGTAAAAATATGGTTTTTCTTTAAAATGAACAGTATCGAAAGTTTTTTGTTAAATTTTCCATAAACAAATGGGTGCAAACGAAAAAAAAAGGTGCGGATATCATTTTTCAAAAGAAAAATGTGAGGAAGGGGCCTATTATGATATGGGTAGCTAGATCGCAATGCACGTATGCAGCATACCAGAGATCAGATGCTACTCACTTCCTCATTACTTCATTTGAAATTGAAATTCATAATTCACCAACCAACTTTATATAATTTTTAATCAAGCCTGAGGGTTGTGCTCCTCACTTCCTACACCCCACCAGCACTTTTACTTTTCTTCTCCCTTAACTTTGAGGAGGTGGATTGTCTGGCTTCTCATTTCCATACTTTTCTTATGCTTTTTTTCTGATGTGTGGTCACGGTTAAACCACGTTAAAATTTTATATTAATTTTTTATAGAAATAATAAAACAAAAAGTAATAGAAATATAGGTTTAATCATGACCACACAAACAGAAGGGCATGGAGAAAGTATGAAAATGGAAGGGCAGACAATCCACCTCCTAACTTTGAAGGCTTGACCGTCATTTCAAAAGATCGTGGTGGAGGTACTTTAACCATTGACACATCTTTTGAAGAAATAAACGTGCTAAAAAAATTATGAGGTGGATTGTCTGCCCTTCCATATTCATACTCTTCCCATACCCTTTTGTGATATGTGGTCATGGTTAAGCCACGTCAATATTTTATAGAAATAGAAGGGTATGAGGAGAGTATGGAAATAGGAGGGCAGACAATCCTCCTTCAAAAAATCATTCTACACATCTTTCTTTATTAGTTAGATTGAATAAATTAATGACAAATTAAAAAACGAAGAAAATAAAGGTAAAAGTGCAGAAGTAAAAATTGAGTGTTCGGAATCTTTTCCTAATCATAACTTGTTATCTCACCACTTGTGCTAAACTCAATTATTCCTTTGATTTTCTTGATCATTGCCTAAGAATTTTGAATCTAGGCCCGCCGGATTTCGTTGAGCTTTGTAAGATTTAGATCAGGCTGAATGAATTTACCCACTGCTCGGCCATATCTTTTGGTAATTGATAAACTGTGAAAGTACGTGACCCAGCAAGAATTAGGTCAAGGTAGAGTATCACTGTTAGTTTATGATACGTACCAGTGATTTGAAAATTCAATAGTCAGATTTTGCATATAAAAGTTTGATGGATTTTTGCAATAGTTAGATTCTGCATACGAGTGCGTATAGTAATTTAATGGATTTTTCCCGCAGGTTAGATTTTGCACAAAACACATATCACTGAATACGTACTATTATAAAGAAAGTTGAAGTACCATCATAAAACTAATTGGCAATATAGGGAATAATCCAAGTCATAAGTTCATGCAAAGTCCATTCTCCCATTTGCATGAGATTCATTCTCAACACGTTCCCTTATATGCGGTAAATTTTCAAGTCAAACACGTGAACAAAATAAATGAATGACGTGGAATGCGTGTGGTTGTTTGGCTTCACACACAAAACAATATACTCTAATACCATAAAAAATAAAAAAATAAAAAAATAAAAGTTAGAATTCCACGCTAAAACCACTTGAGTTTATGGTCACTTCTCAACTTTCTTGGCATTATAACCGAACCCATTTATTCATCTCCTTTGTGGAAGCCATCTCAACTCAATTGTTTTTAGTTTATAGGAAAGGAGTACTGTTTCTTCTTTTCTCAAAATTCTCAAGTGGTGTCTCCGATGATCGGATCCGTGACACCATATTTTTAATAATTTTTGACACAAGTTTTTGTAGGGTTTATTTCGTAATATATTTTAATGATTCGAACTGTTTATATTTTAGAACATCATTCATAGATCATCCTTGCAAAAAATTAGATAAATCTAAAACCATTAAGATATTCATTTGTAGTGAAGAAAATGAACGAATACGGTGCTACAAAGAAACCATAATCCCATAATCCAATGGTCATATGGCTTCAGATTTCGGTGATTTTTGGTAAACATGATCTTTAAGGAAAAACCTAAAATATAGACGGTCGAATTAATCGCTAAAATACATTATAAAATGAGTTCCACAAAAATTTGTGTAAAAAATTATGTAAAAAAAATGATGCATATCTATTCCCTATATAGTTGGTAGTACAAGTGAAGATGCATGTACATGGAGTGGATCACATGCATAATGGTAGCGAGTGGTGCGCTTAAAGTGTGTCTTGTTCTTGACCTTTCTCCAATTTGAAGTACTCGTCCTAGCTGTCTAGTTAGCTAGATATGTAGCTGCATTGTGTAAGTATATTATTATAACACGCTCATGTGAAATTCATTTAAAGTGTGGAGAGGAGCCACGAACTCATATGCATAGAAAGATCAAGTATATAGTCACTCGGATGTATAAAATAAGCACATTTATTTTGACTAATAGAACTAAGTTCGCACATACAACATCGGTATTTTGGAAAATTAAAATTGTAACGTCATAATAATTAAGTTTTGGTGGTTGGTGTTTTAGCAACCATTCCAAATATGTGGCCTGCAGAGATGTAGATATTTAGTCAGAAGTATGTACCAACCATTCCAAAGATCTGCCATCTACAATTCCTCCTCTCCAACTAGCTGCATGTCGTATGCAGCAGCAGAAGCAGCACCACCCCTTTGAACCAACTGTCAAAACTGAATTAAAAATGACAAACCACATACATACTTCTTCCTGATCATACGCTTGCCAACAAACTGATTCCATTACCCTAGCTAAAACCTTACTATTTATATAATTAACAACAACAATTAATTAATTAAGTTAGTCATGAACGACGGCTCTAAATTGATTAATAGTACCATACCATCGAGATCAAGGACCACTCATAAAAGGTTATGTAAAGAGGACATCATTTTTATTAGTGATTCGGAATGTCACTAGTAACGGTTAACGTGATTCATAGAAGTCTCTTTCCTAGATTTGTGTTCTAGCGGTACGCATGCATTGGGGTGGGTCCTGACTCTTGATTAAACTACACACAGGACAATATTACTGTGCTTTCACCCCCACCAATCACGTACCATAGGTAGTACTGGTGTAGGACTTATGACCTTCTATATATAGAACTGCCCTATATTGAAGGGTTCTTACAAGAACCATGTGCTTGCTTATTCAGTTCAGTGATAGATGTCTCTGTGTGTGTGTGTGTGTGTGTGAGAGAGAGAGAGAGAGAGAGAGAGAGAGAGAGTTTTATGGGATTACTCCTCTTCGTAATGTTTCTTGCTCAAATGAGTATTCCAGCCACAGTTTGCATGCAGCTTGCTATATATATATATATATATATATATATATATATATATAAACATGTGTGTCTATATATATAGCACTGGTGCTTCTGCAATCCTGAGATACTCATTTGGGCAAGCAACGTTACAAGAGGAACATTTTTGCAGCATGATCAGCAAAACTGCCGTTTCGGCACCAAAAAGCGGCCTTGATTGCTAGCTAGTTCATCAATCTTATATACAGTTAAGTATTGGTAATTTTCCACTCTCCCTTGCTGGTTAATTAATTAACACGCATATGATCTCTTAATTTTCCACTTTCTCTTGTAGGAAGATGATGATACCATGAACATATATGATCAATTATATCTTAATTATCTTGCCTGGCGGATCTTAATTTCTTAAGTAGTATTATTCATCATTCAAATTACCAATATAGAACTTGAATCAATACTTTGTATTCAGCTAGCATATTATACTGATTATATGTATTTCCAGCGTATATTAGCTTTCAAATTGTGGTAAATAAAGGCAGTTGTTTCCTTTTATAATTCAGATCACCATAAAAATTATACCAGAGATCTCATTTAAATGACTTAATTTGTAATTAACTTCCCTTTTTTTATAATTGACTCTAAATTTACCGAAATATTATTCAATTATATATTAACAATTGTAATGTTAATATTTCTTCGTTTTTTGTAAAAAGGCTACCAAAACGTCTATAGTACGCAACATTATCCTTACTTTACAAAAAATATGTTTCCACAACTTGAACCTATATTCATATTTCTTCGTTTTTGTACTTAAGCTAAAATCAAGAGATTGAAAAGGACAGATGACCGCCGTGCAGCGCCAGTGGCGGCCTAAATATCATTATGTATATCTATCCTATTGTTCTTTACTCTGTACTATCTACTAGCCAATGAATGAATGCAAGTATACATATGTACGTACGTATTGATTGAAGAATTTAACCCTCTTGTATACCAGCCCACCCTATCTTAGTATCTCTGCTGGGCTACCTAGCCTTAACATGATTTTGCCCACATATGCCGCAAATACGCCTAGCTACTGAGAAAATTCTCCTAACTACTTGGATTGAATAAATCAAAAGATAATCAAGAAACAAAAAGAAAGAAGAGTTGATTGCATAAGGAGAAGACGAGAATGTGAAAATCACTACACTTAGTAATTGGTTAGAGAATACCAACAGCAAAAACAAAAGAGGCAAAAAGGTTTTATCCGATCCTGTCTGATTGTACGTGAAGTACCATTTGATTTTGTGCACTACATTTTCCTCAATCGGCAATCTGACGACGCGTACGCACTGGCCATTCCCTCCCAAATTTACAGGTGCAAACAAGGTTTCTACATCAGACGTGCTAAGCTACTATTTCATCTAGGTGCTGTTTTTGCAGCTATGAAACTTGTGGGCTTGAGGACCTTGAGATTGTCATAGCCCGAAACTACCTACATATTTGTCTTGTTCAATGAAAATCTCTAAGCCAGGTCCAACATTCGAGAGCAATTTCGGGTTTTTTCCTACAACGTTTGGCTCCTTCGGCACACAGTAGCTACCGCCGCAGATAATCACCCTTAAACATTCCCCTTCTTGATATCACTATTGTGTATACGCTTGATTGGTTTGTGGACTTGGAATTGATAGGCTAGTTTGACTACACCTAAGGCCATCTCCAATTTACACGGTCAAAAGGTCATAAGGATAAAAATGGCTCGTTTTGACACGAAAACTGTCTCCAACCGAAGGCTAGGCCAAAAGGCTCATGGTCCCCACTCGGCCAAAAATGGGAGAACCAGCCAAAGGGATGGCCAAGAGTAGCCAGCTTGCAAGCCCCATAGCCCAACCCTCTAGCGCCAGAATGTTAAGCTCAACATTTTGCCAGCCTTTTAACTCAACCCATTTGAATGTCAATGGCTACTTAGCATCAGCATGATGCCATCTAGCAATGACTAGTTGACGTCGTGCTGTCATCAGGTTATTGTTAGAATTTGATATTTTGTTTTTGACGAATTTAAAAAAAAAATCTTATTTTTTTCCCTATAAATACCTAAGCTATTTCTACATCATTCCATACTATCTTACCTCATTTTATTTCAATTATTCACATTCTATTCTCTTACCTCTTCTAATAATCTTTCCTTTAATTTTTTCAATAATTTTCAAATGGCCATATTTACAATGAAAGGAAGAGTTTGGATCCGAAAAGAAAATGAAACTCTTTGCAGGGCTTATAGATGGGTCTCGGAAGATAGTGTCAAGGGTAATTTTCAAACAAGTGAAGGTGTTTGGAGGTGTGTGAATTCTACCCCAATATCCAACCAATTTATTAACATTGGAAGCTGAAGGTAAGAAGTAACACGTAGATAAGAATCATCTCTAAAGTTTGCTCAACCAATTACATCTCAACACGTGACACTCGAAATACTATCTGAAAAATTATTAAGATTACATAAAGATAAGAAATCTGGAGAGTTACTCACTTTAGCAACACGTGTCAATTGAAATCCTATCTGAAAAATGATTGAGATTACAGAAAGATAAGAAATCTGAAGAGTTACTCATGTAGCGACACGTGTCAATTGAAATCCTATCCAAAAAATTATTGATATTATATAAAGATAAGAAATCCAGATGCTTATTCATTTGGTGACAAGTAGCACTCAAAATATATCTGAAAACCTTATTTTTAATATGGAAGTTTAATTTAAATAACCATATTAATTCAATTGAAATAATAAATTATGTTTGACTTATGACCTTTTGGCCTCTTCGGTTGAAGATGATTTTTTGTCAAAGGGCTATGGTTAGCTTATGATCCTTTGGCTTCCTCGGTTGAAGATGATATAAAATATGATCTGACATTGTTCATTAAAATATAATTTCTTGCATAACTATAAAGTTAAAAGAGCCATTTGACCTCCTTCAGTCGAAAATGGTCTAAGAACTCAAACCCAGCCCCCATTCCAATGTTAGCATCGATGAGCCCGCCGCCATCACGCGGCAGGAAATTGTGATGATTGTCCAGGGCGGCAGGAAATTGTGATGATTGTCCAGGACGGGGCTGACACGGAGGCATTGCAGAGGAATATTGATTATGTTTGTGGCCTGGGGTTGGATTGTGGGCCAATCACACAAGGTGGACCGTGCTTTGTGGCCTACACAGTTAGAGCCCATGCAACGCTTGCCATGAATGTCTACTTTCAAGCAAGAATAATGTTTAGCTACTCAGAGATAAAGTAGGAATTTCTATTTAAAATTATTTGTATTTGTATAAAAAAAAAACTTTTTGATTATGATCAGAATTGTTAATATTATGAATCATTTTGTAAAGATTATATCTGCAAAAAATGAATAAAAAATAAGGTCGTTTGGTTAATCTATTGTAACAAATACATAAACAGTTCGTAAAACTTTTATCAATTCCATTCATCTGTATTTATAATTATATAACTAAACAATTTTAATTTTGATTGATTTTTTACAAAAACAATCTTTATAGAATGATTTATATTACGAACACTTCCGATCATAAATACGAAGTTTTATATGCTAACAACAAAATTTTTTAAGTGGAAACCCCTACTTATTCTTTGAAGAGAAGGGTTATGATTGTGAGTTTATACAAACTGACGCCACCACTGCCGTCGATCCAGTTAGTAAGTCAGTAAAAGGACAGGTGGCACTCAAATTGAAAGGCCACAGAGAGGCTACAGGTAAGAACAGGTGTAGAAGATTTGAGTTCGCTCGTACTTAACTGGTTTTGACCGCGGAGCGCCCGATCGTTTGTTGTCTCCTATGCGGTGCGCTCTGATCTCCGGGGAGCAAAACGCTCTCTCTCTTTCTCTCTAAAAGTCCAATCTTTTTCTCTCCCTTTCTCTCTCTAGTTCTCCCAATTTTCTAGGGTTTTAGCTCGTCGTTTCAATCGATTTCGATTCTCCTAGGGTTGGGGTTTTAGGATTTTCCGCAGAGAAGAAACAATGGGCGGAGAGTGGCAGCAGCTCCTCCAATCGATAATCCTCGGCCTCATTTTCTCCTTCCTCCTCGCCAAGCTGATCGCCGTAGTCATCTCCTTCAAGGAAGACAATCTCAGCATCGCTCGCGCTCGCACTGCCGCCCCCGCCGATGTCAATCCGCCGCCGCCAAAAACCGAGCCGTGCGACGACCCGCCTCGCTCCGCCGATTTGAGCTCCGCGGCAATCGAGGCCGAATCGGTCGTCGCCGAGCACGGCAGCGTCAGGAACGAGAGCAGCGAAGGTGGCAGTGATGATGACTGGGAAGGTGTGGAGAGTACGGAATTGGACAAGCTGTTCAGCGCAGCGACGGCGTTTGTTGCGACGGCCGCGGCGGATCGGCAGAAGGTGTCGAGTGATGCGCAGTTGAAGCTTTATGGGCTTTACAAGATTGCTACTGAGGGTCCCTGCAGCGTGCCGCAGCCATTGGCTCTGAAAATGACTGCTCGCGCCAAATGGTATTTACTCTACCATTACTTTTTACTGCAAATTTACTTCCAAGATTTAGGGTTTATTTATATGGGTCTTATTTTCAGCTTGATAAGGATGGGCAGTGTGTTCTTGGATTGGTTTTGCTTAATATCAAGATTAGCCAGATTTAATTTTGCCCTAATTGTAATGTTTTTACTGGGTGATTGGTGAATTAGGGGTGGTTAAACTGTGTATCTTACTTTAGAAGCCGACTTGCCGTGGTTTTGAATATTTTTGCTCGGTGATTTCTTACAGGCAAGCTTGGCAGAAATTGGGTGCTATGCCTCCTGAAGATGCTATGGAGAAGTACATTGATATTGTCACAGAGCTTTATCCTAATTGGGCAGCAGGTTTGACTGTGGTGAGTCTTGATTCTTTCGTTTTCGACTGCAAATTTTTGGTACTGCTGTACATTTATACTTACTTTCTGTTGGTTTTTCTGGTTTTGTTTCGTCTCTTGACATATGATTACTAGAAAAGCAGAGGAGGTGGAGATGGTAGTGCACCTGGTAATGATTCTAAAGGACCAATGGGACCGGTTTTCAGCACCTTTGTTTACGAGGAAGAATCTGAACAGGATCTGTAAGTATTTTAGGTCTACTAAGCATGGGAGGGTTAACTGTTAATATTTACACATCCCGTCAATTATTAGTTTCTGTTTCTTGGAAATAAATATAAAAAAAAAGTACTGCTAAGCTATGCTTGTTTTTACCTTTCAGAAAGATGGATGCTATTCATGCCTTTGCCAGAGAAGGAGAAGTGGATAATTTGCTTAAATGCATTGAAAGTGGTGTTTCAGTGGATCAGAAAGGTTTGTTTTCTTCCATCTGATTCTTTAAATAGCTTCATTAAGTTTCAAACTAACATATCGTAATTAATCCATTTATACTTCCATAACTACGAAGCCATGTATGGTCGTTAACATGGTTATATACTGTTCGGAAATTCAGCACATAAATTGTAAAGCTTGAAAAGACTAAGGCCAAAAGCTATGGTACCCCAAGTTCGACTTCATACTGATCCAGCTGCAGATCTCTCTTAACCTAGCTTTTATTGCTTGTTTCTCAGATGAATAGCACGCCAGATGTTTCTTTCTTTCTTTCAATACATGTACATGGCTTAATATTTTCTTGATTTTCTCTGGCAGTTATTCTCTCCTCACCCAGAAAATGTTTGATTTGTTTTTATTGGTGGTCTATCATCCTACCCTTTATGTTAGGATGTTAAAGGAAATTTCCTTTGTGCAACTTTTTATGTGCTCGTATGATGCTGGTATCGCCCTAAAACAGTTTACTTGCACTGATAGCAGATAGTGAGGGAAGGACCCCATTGCATTGGGCTGTGGATCGTGGGCACCTGAACATGACAGAGCTGCTTGTTAACAAGAATGCCAATGTCAATGAAATGGTAGATTAAAAGACAAACATTTATTTACGGTAGCAAATTTGTAAGTTTTTCCCGATCCCACCCCCTGTTAAGCAATTTTAAATATCTATTCTTTTGGTCTTGGAAGGACAATGAGGGCCAAACTGCGTTGCATTACGCTGTTATGTGTGATAGAGAAGGCATTGCTCAATACCTTGTGAAGCAAAATGCCGACACGAGTGCAAAGGACAACGATGGCAACTCTCCATGTGATATCTGTGAGTCAGACTGGCCTTGGTTGCAGGGTGCAAAGGAGAAGAGTCACTGACCGACCACGGTTTACTTTGGTTTCCTACGGCCCTAGTTATTTGAAATATTCCTGGGGGATGTATATTGGCGATGTATAACCCAATCTTCTCCTAAATCTGTTGTCTTCTGAAAAGATTTCAAAGGATAAAGCAGTATGTGTATGTAGTTTTCTACCTCGTCGTTGTGTAACCTCCTTTTTTAGGGTTACTCGTTTTCCCTATCGTGGAAGGGAAGGGAAAGGTTGAAATCGCTGGGTGTAACTTGTACGGTATAATGCATATCAAAGGCCTACTTTTTGCCACCGGTCTAATGCTTTCATTTGTTGATGAATTGTTGTCCCTAATACCTTTCTATAAGTCCGTAAAGAGGTTTGTAATATGATCTGATCTCGGGATGGGATAGTCTCCCGATTTACCAATTTAGTTACCGAAAAATCTTTTAGCGAAATAAGATTTACCAATTTAGTTATTTTTTTTTAATTAGTTTTGGGTTGTTGATCTATGAAAGTCTCGTTCTCTCTTTAACAACAAAGTAGAGCATATTTCGTGCTCGGGCCAAGCGAATTGGGCTTTTCATATTTGGGTTAGGCCATGGCAATGCTTCAAATATTAGTCTCGACTTCTACGTCCAAGCATGAAAAATATATTTTAAATTCTAGACGTGTGCTATCCACACATTCTTTTTTATTTCTCACACATCTCTTGTTAATTTATGTCCGTTGATCTTCTTCAATTCATCCGATCCAACAGCCGAAAACTAAAAAGATGTGGGAGAAGTAAAAAGGGGTGAGTGAATATCACACCCCAAATTCTAAACTGAAAACCTTGAATAAACCTGGACACACAGCTGCCTGAGATATTGCTAAATTAGAACAATTAAAGATGTCCCCCCAATCCATCTCTATTAATAAAAGCAAGGGGCAACATTATATCCTCTATGTACCTCTCACTTCTAACGGTCACTAACCATTTCTGCCACCACCCAAAATATTCAGTTGGTCTTTGGCTGCTTATCATCACCACCTTGGCTTCTTCTTCTTCTTCTTTGATGCCAAGCAATGGCGAAGGCAGTGGTCTACGCGCTACTTGCCACCGCCTTTATCTTTCTTCTCGTCATGCTTCCCTCCAAACAACGTGGCCCCAACCACCGCCGCCGCCGCCACCACCCCCACCCCCTCCTCGGCCTTAACCGCCGTCTTGGCTACACGGGTCATGCTCCCATTTTTGACCCCTTGGTAGCCAAGATGGAGAGGTACGCCAAGGAAAATGGATTCCCAAGGGGAATGAATAATCTCATGGGGTTGGCGGCACACAACGATCATCCCATGATGCATTTAAGTGAGGTGGAAGAAGTACATGAATATATTGGCGATGAGGGAAAGTTGAATCTCACGTTGAGGCTGATTAATTTGTTCCCGTTGATAGACCAGGCGCCAAAAGACGGGTTCATTAGCTCTAAAGAGCTCGAGCAATGGGTCACGAAACAAACCTTGGAGAGGTTGAATTATAGCACACAGAAAGAAATGGAATCGCACGATAAAGATGGTGATGGAACAATTTCTTTCGCGGAGTATCTGCCCAAGTTTTCCACTAAGGATCTAGGTATTTAACTACGTATACTTATTGCTTTATATGTTTGTGAATATATACGCAGAAATTCTCCGTGCAGGACGTACTGTCTGTCTGTAAGAAAGACGGGATGCATTAAAAAAAAACTTCTAGTTTCTTCAACTTTGGTCTCCAACTTTGGTGAAACAGCGAAAAACAGAATGGAGCACGGAGAAGCTGGATGGTGGAAGCAACAATTTGAGAATGCAGATGCTGATAAGAACGGATTACTAAACTTCAATGAATTAAAAGAGTAAATATAATTCTCCAAAATTTAATTTTTGAGCATTTTGGTTCAACATAAATATTTATATGTTTAATTTGTATTTTTGTTGCAGTTTGTTGCACCCAGAAGACAGCAACAATGAAGAAATTCACAAATGGCTGTTGAGAGAAAAAATGAAGTACATTTTCTCACATATCTTCTCTGTCTTTCACACACTAAACATATTAATGCCTTATCTGAATAATTTGTTGCAAATTAAGGAACGGATTAACGAAATGTTTGCCTATAATTTACAGGCGGATGGACAAGGATAAGGATGGGAAAATGAATTTCAGGGAGTTTTTACACAACGCTTATGATAATTACAAGAGTTACGTAGAATTTGAAACGGGCGGGAAGAATGTACCCTCGCCAGAACAGAAATTTACAGAACTTGATGTGAACAAGAACAGGTATGCATGCATGCCTTGAACCTCAAGCTAACACATTTTTTGACCTAATTTTTTTTCTTCCTTTGCTGCCAAGGTTATAGTTTACAGAACTTTACTAATCTCTTTTGAAATCGAAACATGTTTGACAGACTCTTGGAAGTGGAAGAATTGAAACCAATCCTGCATTACATTCACCCAGGAGAATTGTCCTATGCTAAATATTATGCAAGCTTTCTGATGTTGGAGGTTAGTAATGTTTCAATCGGTGTACTCCTATCAATGTGATATGATGAAATGAATCTGAAATGAAATGCGTGGCATTGTTCGATTCAGGCCGATGGTAACAAAGACGGAAAATTAACGCTCGAGGAGATGCTCGATCATGATTATGTTTTCTACAACACAGTCTATGATGGCAGCATCAACGAAAATCTTGATGAAGATTTGCATGACGAATTCTGAAGCGTGATGGCCCGGGAAATGCACTTTTCGATTGTTTTTAGCGGGAGCTTATCCTAATTGTGTATTTATTTTGTCATTTGAAACATATAGAAGAGCAAAACAAAAAATTTTGCTTTCATTAGGTTGAGCATTGACTCAAAAAGTAGTGGTAACTGGTATATACCTAGGATAGGTATTTAGTGTTGTGTGAAACGGTTTTAATAATTAGGAATGTTTTTGTTGGAAGAAAATAGAAGAAATCACATGAAAATTTCAGTTGTTTCCTCTTCATATTCCCTTAGAATTGATCTGCATTTTTTGTAAAATCTCTCAACTGTTATATTCTCCCACTTGGGCGAATGAAAGAACATAGATTCTAATATGATCGATGTATGGGTTGACTGCACATAGCAAAAACATTTCCTCACCTCAGTTGACTCTTCATCATCGTCAGTCAACCCATACATCGACCAAATTAAAATCAACATTTTTTGTAAGTTGTAATTACTCTAGCGCAAACATTTCCTCACCTCAGTTGACTCTTCATCGTCATCTTCATCATCATCCCACTTGGGCATCTCCTGCAAAAGGGCGACCACTTCTTGTCCATCATCGACTGTATTACTTGAATTAATTTAACTACCTGCTCATTTGTGGATGTAACAGCATCTATACCGCTGGCGGCCTACAACAAAAAATACTCAAAATTCCAAAGTGATTACGACATGTAATACAGACAAGATATAGAATGAATGCAGCGTCTTAACAGATATATCCACTTGATTTTACATACATAGATAACCATATTCTTCGACTCCAGGAAAAATACCCCTATATACCAAATTCGTTTTTATCTTTCCAGAGCAAAGTACCTCACAAATTATCCAATATGCGGCCCACCATTTTCATTACCTCATCAAGAATCTCAGGCTTAAGATCCCGAGTACGGAGATGGGCGACATGCCTGCACAGATGGACGACATGCCTGCACAATGGCAGTTACGAGTTAGAACATTTAAATTAAGAAAGAAGGGAATAATTATAGAAAGTGCAATAGCATAAGCAGCATGCATGGTATCAATATTTACTCGCTTGGATTCTGCTGTGTTCATGAGGAGCTGCTTCTTCCATTTTCTTGTGCTGTTCAAAATCTTCTTCCATTTTCTTCGTAAGCTAGATGGTTGAATCTGAATGGCAGACGAGATGACAGAAGAGAATTATGTATGAAAAGAAACAATCAATTTATAGCTAGCTTCAAATTACTGATTTGTTTTGAAAATGTTCAGTTACATATATGTGCTTACAGTATTATGGCCGGCAACGTCAATGCTGTTATCATCCGCAGAATCGAATAACCCCTCAACAGAGCATTAGGGTTAGGGATAGGGTTAGGCAGTGACGGATATTTGAACTTTGGGGGTCCCAATCTTAAAAACCAAATCAGTTTATTCATTTAGTGGGCTTGTTGTGCACATGTAAAAATACATCGGCATATGCCGAAGCAATTATGATATAGAGAGAACTCATTGAGTGCTGTTGACACGACATGTCGACATATGCCTAGCATGCATCACATTAAACATTCAGCAAGCATAAAAGTGACCAGTACCAAACATTCGGAGAATCCTCAGAAGACTTTCATATGTATACTTTTCGAACTCAACCTGAGACCACCTTGGTCCCTATTTCCATTCGCCCCCTGATTGGGGTTAGGATTTTGTTTACTCTTTTCCAATTTCAAAAACAAGAGCGAAAACTTACTATCTATACCATGACCTAAAAACCAGCATTTATCAACCGAATTATAAAATACCAGTTATACTCATTTTACATACGGTTTAAGAAACCAACAGTTACAAATCAGTTACTTGGCCCAAAAGAAAAATTAAAAATAATAAGAAGCCCAAGCTCTCAGGTCCAAAAGATGGGCCCATAACTTTCGGCCCGAGTCAATTCGCACGAAAACTTATTGCCTGCAAATGTGCGCTAATAAAAGGAAAATTAATAAAAAGAGTTTGAAAACTTTAAATTTTAACGTTAAGGATAAAATAAAAGGTAAAATAAATAATACCAAAATCAACTTTTAATGTAAAAATATGATTTTTCATTAGAACAAACCGTACGAGAGCTTTTCTTTAAATTTTCTACTATAAATAAGCCCCACGAAACAAAATTATTGCAACCAATTTTTTTGAAAAAATAAAAAAAAGAAAAGAAAGAGAAAGTTGATTGCTTTCTGCAATCCGAGTCCATCCCAGCAATTTGCTTCTCTGTCCTCTGCGTCTGTCTCTGTCGCTATCTCCGAGGAAGACTTTCTGCTACCGATCCACATCCGTACGCTCCCTTTAAGGTTCATTTTTCAGGTAATTCCATCGCTGTCCTGTTCGAAAACGTCGATGCTGTTCCAGTGGTAACTAGGATTTTTGCATGCTTCTGTGTTTGTCTGATCCTGATTGTTCCGGTTCGATTCGCTGAATTGGAATTTGATGCGTTAAGGTTTCGAGTAATTTGATGGCCTAGGGTTGCGTTTTGTGATTTTTAAGGTTGTTTTTGTTAGTGTTTATTGGAGATGTAGGCAATTTTGTATGAAATTTCACCCGATCCATGAAATTGTTTGTTACTGTGGTTTGGATTTCTTAGTGGGGGATTTGTTCGGTTGTGGATTTGTTTGTGCATCCGTACAACTAGGCGCAAAACCGAAGACCTGGCGCACTCAACGTTCTAGGATCTATACAGCCGACCCCACGTAGCACGTGGTGGGATAAAACTTGGTTGTTGCTGTTGTTGTTGTTATCCGTACAACTATGGTTTTTGGTGTTTGGATGGAGTAGGGTTTTTCGTTGCTTGCATTTGAGAAATTTAAGGATATATATATATATATATATATATATATTATTGTATGGGTAGGTTTCCTGATGATTTGCTGACTTGCGGTAAAATGTTGTTTTCCTGCCAAGTTTGTGTGTGTATTTCCTACTGATTTCAATATTTAAATATACGCAATCGTTACACTTTGCAGTGCGTTGATGAATGGTTTTCCGGGCAAATTCAGGGGTTTGCAGTTTCAGTTAGACTTCTTTCTGGAAACCAAATTGGTGGAACGGAAAAGATTTTCTAGCCTAATAAATTTTCTATTCTTGCATGATGTTAATTTTTTCTAAACCTGATTTTCGACAGTTTTTTGCTCTCTGTAAAATGCTATGATTTATTTGTCTCCTATCCTCTTGTATTTCTCTAATATGTCTAAGCAATTAAAATTTTACACTCCCAGATACTATACATCAATGGAAGTTACCCAGGTGCTTCTGAATGCTCAATCTATAGATGGAGCGGTACGGAATCATGCTGAAGAGAGTTTGAAACAGTTTCAGGAGCAAGATCTTTCATCGTTTTTGTTGTCTCTTTCTAGAGAGCTAGCAAATGAAGAAAAACCGGTTGAAAGCCGAAAATTAGCAGGTCTGATACTTAAGAATGCCCTGGATGCTAAAGAACAACCTAGAAAGTTGGAGCTTGTTCAAAGATGGCTTGCGTTGGAAACTTCTGTGAAAGCGCAGATTAAGATGTTCTTGTTACAGATCCTCACTTCCCCTGTAGCTGATGCCCGTTCAACTACCTCTCAAGTTATTGCAAAGGTTGCGGGCATTGAGTTGCCCATGAAACAGTGGCCGGAACTGATTGGATCACTATTGTCAAATATTCACCAGTTACCAGCTCATGTAAAGCAAGCCACTTTAGAGACTCTTGGGTATTTGTGTGAGGAAATCTCTTCTGATGTCGTAGATCAAGATCAAGTGAATAAAATACTGACAGCTGTAGTTCAGGGTATGAACGCAACTGAAGGGAACAATGATGTTAGGCTTGCTGCTACCCGAGCACTGTACAATGCTGTGAGTTTTATTCAGGCCAATTTTAGCAATGACATGGAGCGTGATTATATTATGAGAGTTGTTTGTGAGGCAACTATGTCCCCTGAAGTGAAGATTCGACAGGCGGCTTTTGAGTGTTTAGTTTCCATTTCTTCATCTTATTACGAGAAATTAGCCCCTTACATTCAGGACATATTTAGCATCACAGCAAAAGCTGTAAGGGAAGACCAGGAACCTGTTGCTCTTCAAGCCATTGAATTCTGGAGTTCGATTTGTGACGAGGAGATCGATATATTGGATGATTATGTGGGTGATTTTAGTGGGGACTCTGATATTCCGTGCTTCTACTTTATCAAGCAGGCAATCCCTGCCCTTGTCCCTATGCTTTTGGACACGCTTCTTAAGCAGGAAGATGATCAGGAGGAAGATGGGGCTTGGAATATTGCTATGGCTGGGGGGACTTGCCTTGGGTTGGTTGCTCGGACAGTGGGAGATGATATTGTTCCACTTGTTATGCCTTTCATCGAAGAGAACATAACAAAATCAGATTGGAGGCAAAGAGAAGCAGCTACTTATGCGTTTGGTTCCATCTTGGAGGGTCCTTCGCCAAACAAGTTAACATCTATTGTCAATGTTGCTATGACGTTCATGCTCAGTGCCTTAACAAAGGACCCAAACAACCATGTGAAGGACACTACTGCCTGGACATTGGGAAGAATTTTTGAATTCCTTCATGGTTCAACTATGGATACACCCATAATTACCCCAGCAAACTGCCAACAGATCATCACAGTTCTTCTTCAGAGCATGAAAGATGTTCCAAACATTGCTGAGAAGGCATGCGGTGCTCTCTATTTTCTGGCCCAGGGCTATGAGGATTTTGGCCCGTCATCTCCCATTGCTCCTTTTTTCCAGGAAATTGTACAGGCTCTACTCACTGTTACTCACAGACCAGATGCGGGGGAATCACGATTAAGGACTGCTGCATATGAAGCGTTGAATGAAGTCGTCAGATGTTCGACTGATGAAACTGCCCCCATGGTGTTGCAACTTGTTCCCGTTATCATGATTGAACTGCATCAGACTCTTGAGGCCCAGCAGCTTGCATCTGATGAGAAAGAGAGGCAGAGTGAACTACAAGGACTTCTTTGTGGCTGTTTACAGGTCATTATTCAGAAACTAGGTTCATCAGAGCCCACAAAATATGTGTTCATGCCATACGCAGATCAGATAATGGGACTTTTCTTGAGGGTATTTGCTTGTAGAAGTGCTACTGTCCATGAGGAAGCCATGCTTGCCATTGGGGCCCTTGCATATACAAGTGGCCCGGATTTTGCAAAATACTTGCCTGAGTTTTACAAGTATCTCGAAATGGGGCTTCAAAATTTTGAGGAGTACCAAATCTGTGCTGTCACGGTTGGTGTTGTAGGAGATATTTGTAGAGCAGTGGAAGATAAGATTCTTCCTTATTGTGACGGAATTATGACCCAGCTTCTCAAGGATTTATCAAGCAACCAGTTGCACCGTTCCGTAAAGCCTCCTATATTCTCCTGCTTTGGTGATATAGCTCTTGCAATAGGAGAGAACTTTGATAAGTACTTGATGTACGCCATGCCAATGATTCAGAGTGCTGCAGAGATGTCTGCCCACACAGCAAGTGCTGATGATGTAATGACAGAGTACACCAATTCTCTGAGAAACGGAATCTTGGAGGCATATTCTGGGATTTTCCAAGGTTTCAAGAACTCCCCGAAAACCCAGGTTTTGATAACTTATGCTCCGCACATCCTGCAGTTCTTGGATAGCTTATACAAGAGGAAAGACATGTGAGTTGATCTACAGTTCCGTTGTTATTACAAATTACAATTTTTTGTTGTGTTTTTCTGACATTTTATTTTTAATTTACTTGCATGTAGGGATGAAGTGGTGATGAAAACAGCCATTGGTGTCCTTGGAGATCTAGCAGATACACTGGGAAATAATGCTGGTTCTTTGATACAGCAATCTCAATCGTGCAGAGACTTTTTAAATGAGTGCTTGTCTTCCGAAGACAATTTGATTAAAGAATCTGCAGAATGGGCCAAGATGGCCATCAGTCGTGCCATTTCAGTTTGAAGCTACTGCCGTTCGGTATATTCTATTTGTTTGGAGTCCCTGCATGCATTTGGGTGTTGAGTTGGGTCATAGGATTGCATGTGTCAAGCATCGCCATTTTCAGACAACTGAAGCTGTCAGCCTTCAAGTTGTCACTAACTTGCATCATCTCCAAAAGTTGTGACTAACAATTGCATCAGCCCTCAGGGCTTGGGTCCTGGTTTTGTCAAGGAGGAAGAGCGGGTAGTGAGTGTTCCAGAAGCGGGTTAAGGCCTGCAATCAAAACTAACAAAATTCTGTGGATCACAGATTATGTGGCATTTGAGGGGAAGGTAAGTGACATTCATGAAGGCCACATTTCTGTGTCACTGAGGTGAATTGCGCTCCGAATGCCAAACAAGATCTTGTTAACCTAAACCACCACCCCTGATGATTTCCTCCAACAAGGTTGGGGTCAGAATGGATGAATAATGCCTAATTTTGTTCGGGTGCTGGCATCGTATCACTAACCCAAGTGCCGTATTCCTGAAAATCCACATAGCAGGTCTTCATTCCTGAATTTTGTCCACTCCTGTTATCTTGTTTGCATCTCATCATATTTTTGCTTGTCTTAGTGCGGATTCCAGAGTATTTCCTTAGCAACCCAGACTACCTCCAGTTCGCTCAAGGTCTGTCCGTCACCATGAACTCATGGAAACGCAGATCCTACGTTGCATCAGTCGTTCATTCTCAGTATTGATCATTGTTAGAAGGTCAAGTTAGCTATATGTCCCATACCATATGCATTCATAAAATCATTGTTACGTCGCGTTTTGAAAGACAGATGAACTTTTTTCTTCTTCTTTGCTTGGGGAACATGTAATCATATTTTCTTTCGGGTCATGTCGCCTTATGGAAGTTTGTTATCATTAAACGTCACGAATTGTGATAGCATAGCTAGGATTATTTTGTTGGGAAGTTTGGGAGAGGCATTGTATTTGTGTATCTGCCTCAGTTCATGTGTTGTTTTTAAATGGATATCTTCCAGAATTTTATGCATAGCTATACGCTTTGGTTGAATTATTATCGTGTTGTTTGAGGCTTTAAGATTTTGGCATTGGAAAACTATGGACACGTTGACGCGCTTGGAATTTTGCATTATTTAAGCTCGACGTTGTGGAAGTGCACTATGACTTTTTGGGAGTGCTAATAATCGTTCGGTAATTTTGGAGTGCTAATTGTTGTTTAGTAATTTTGGAACTAGGATTTTCTGATTGGAAGGTAAATGTAGGAGTTGGATAGAAAGTGATAAAAAAGTAGGTCTGAGAAGAGAAGATAGGATTGCCTCGTTTTGACCATCACAAATATTTACTTAATTGAGAATTAGAATTATTTCGATTTTTGGTTTTCTTGCGTTTTCCGTACGCATCTGAAAATTCAAGAATCAGATCGATTGGGGGGGGCTACTTCCTTCGTTGATTCCATTCTCGATTCTTGTACTTTCCCGAATTCATTTTTCCTCGTTCCAAATAAGTAAACGTGTCATGAATTCATCCAAATTTCTGAAGGGACAAGAATATGGTAGGTTTCCAACTTTCAACTTTAAGGCAAGTTCAAAGAAGGTGGTGTGAGCTTTTGTGATATGACTGCCACCAATACAATGCAATACAATGCAACCACTTTTACATATATTCCACATCGTTTTTGGTAGTGGAATTGGTAATCCCCCCGCCACACCATCTGAGGTCAGTCATGACTGAGTCCTTATGAAACCAAAACCAAAAGAAGTGGATTTGATGTTATTAAATGGAGAGGTCTCGTTTCATACGTAGGATTGGATTAGAATGAGTAACTCTCTGATTTCAAAGTATGTAGGAAAAATGAAAAAAAAACTAATGTGCAACTAGAGGGTAGAACACGGATTACATATGAAGAAAACTTGTGCATTCCAATATCCTCTTCATAGTAGAGTAGATGACATGAGTTTTCTTAGTCCAAAGAAAAAAGAAGCATAGAGGGGGATTGAGATCTTCTTCAGATCTCACTCTGGAGGTATGGACCGGGCAATTCGGACTGTTCAAGAGAAAGAGAGAGATATATATTTGGCCGTTGGAGAGAGAGGTTGTGTGTGTGAGGTGGGCTATTGAAATTGACTAATGGAAACCGCACGATTTAAATTAAATGGTTCGAATTGTTTGGTCCATAGGCTTCAGACTGTAAAATCTAGAGAGAATATGAATCCCATAAAGAGGATGACATCATGACAGTAAGCAATCCAAAATGAATAGAATGTACCACTTTGTGTTTAAGCTGGTGACACCAAATCCCTGTAGAGAGAGCACTAGCTACTTCTCTCCCATCCATGCTATGGAGTAAGGACTAAAATCTTATGTTGCAAGGAAGTTTTTTTAGAAAATTAGAATTATATGTCTCATTTTAGATTTTTGTAGACTAAACATTTTTGCTTTTTGAGTTTTTGATTAAGCTTTTGAAACATTTGATTAAGATACTCAGACTTGAACTACTTCACATTAATTGAAATTAATTTATATTTAAATATCTTCCATATATTTTAAATAATTTCAACTATATTTAAGTCTAAAAATTTAAACTTTTCAAATCTAAATGTAAACCACGCCAAATGGAAATGTACCAATATTAAATGAAAACGTACCAACGTCAAACGAAAACGTATCAATCCCGAATTAAAACATACCCAATTATAAACTATATTAAAATGAATATTCATCTTTTTGGAATGTATAAAAATATGTTTGATTCATACACAATGCTCTAGACAGTCTTGTTTTTTCATTTTTGGTAGATAAGTGTCTCTAGAACAACTTTTAGTTTATTGGAGATAAATCCTTATTATTGTAGATAATGCTAAATAATAACGATAAATCATATAATTTTGAATTAACAAAAAAGGCTATTGTCCGTTGTGTCACATCCCGGCCCGGGACGGATCACTTCCCGGGCCCGCTCCACCACCGTAGCACGATATTGTCCGCTTTGGGCTTACCATTCCCTCACGGTTTTGTTTTTGGGAACTCACGAGCAACTTCCCAGTGGGTCACCCATCGTGGGATTGCTCTAGCCTCCTTCTCGCTTAACTTCGGAGTTCCTACGGAACCCGAAGCCAGTGAGCTCCCAAAAGGCCTCGTGCTAGGTAGAGATGAGAATATGCATATAAGGATCACTCCCCTGGGCAATGTGGGATGTCACACGTTGATTAATGATTCTTTTTATAAAAATAATAATAATAATTAATTAAAGTAATTTAAACTTTTACATTGTTAACGACTCTTTCTATAAATAAAAAAAAATTGATTAAAGTAATTCCTCATTATTAGGACAAAAAGTAATAAAACTTATGTTTTGAAAACAAACGTACCAAAAATTCAAATGTACCAAAAACTAAATGTACCAAAAATTCAAATATACTAAAAATTCAAATGTACCAAGAAGCCAAATGGATCAAAAATTCAAATGTACCATTATAATCAAATGTACTGATATAACCAAACGTACCAAACAATGAGTTTTGTTACATTCTATTTAATTTACTAAAATAAATATTTTAATAAAAAATAAAAAAATCTTAAATCATCATAATAAGAGATGCATAAAAATAGGAGGAAAAAATAGAATGCTAACGTGAATAGGCTTCTAATGAAATAAAATTAAAGTATCAAAATTGTAGGGAAAATGTTTAATCAAATCTGCAAAAGGAATAGATGTTTAGTTTATGACATTTAAAAACGAGGCATCTATATCAAAATGTCCCAAATTTTTTTTGGCAAACGAGAGAAATTTACTTATATTAGAAATATGTTACTGCGAAAATATTTAAAGTCAATCGTGTGCTAATTAATTAACATGTGTTATAACTTCCACGCTTGTGATATAATCATGATAGTTCCCGTTAGTCTCTCTTGTAATATGGTTCCCCCGACAACCTAGAACCTTTGCCGAGAACAGAGTTTAATTTGTGGATCAACATGCAAACACCATCATTACCGACAAAAACTCTATTAGGAGATGATTAATTATTGAAACTTTTCTTTGTAGTCTTAAATTAATGTTGGATTATCAACTAGTATTGGACCATGTTCGTGTTGATATATATAGTACTTCAAGCAATGTTTAAAATATCGGTCTCAATAAAAATATCGATATATAAATTTGTGAAAATATCGATGGATATATCAATATGGATTTCAATATCAACTGCTTTCGATGGAAATAATGAAAATTTAAAATGAAACTTCAGAGAATGTCAAACACTTATTTTGACAAAATATAAGAGTTTCTTCGATATTTAACTGAGATGTTGGAAATATCGTTTAAATATGTTGATTTTAGCTAAAATTTAAGAGTTTTTCTGATATTTAGTGAAGTTTAGACTTCATCTTTCCATATTTTTCTATGATTTTTCAAATATTTCCATGAAAATATTAATAATATCGAAGAAATTACAAATACTGACTTCAAGAATGTTGACTTGCTCCCCTCACACCATGATCATAGTGCTCTCCCTCTCCATCTAGTGGGTCACTTCTTCCCATTTGATTTTCTCCTGTAGTCCACTCTAGCCTTATGTTTGCTTGTCTTCATCCATTGACCAGGCAGAAAGTGATCGATGTAAGCAGAAATTTGAGGACCAAGACCACATTTTCCACTCATGGTGTTTGGTACCACGGAAAATGCAGTCCATGAGGGAGAGAGGAGAGAGGGAGACAAAGAGGGAGAGAGAGCATAATATGGCTTGAATTTCCTATAGAAAATGATGGATGTCTTGTGTCATTGTGGAATTTAAAAAGCAAAGTTCCATTACGAAATTTACTTGTAGATGAGGAAAACGTAATTGACATTATCAAAGAAAAGGATGCCAATACTTTTTCTGTATTTTAAAGGAAGAAAGATTTCAATAAGACAACCTAATTACGTAGCTAATTAGACATTTTTACATAGTAAGATTCCATGCATTTAGAGAGTTAAATTTAACTAGAGTCAGATGATACACATGTACAGAAAACCTATATCATTATGAAAGTAGCTAAGCTGACCAGACACGTGATGCCCTACCCTGAAGTTTACAATCTTGAAACTTTAAGTAAGTCTAGGGTTTTTGTAGTATTCATCTCTTGTCATGATTCGAACAATTTCTTTGCAGACCATGAGCCAAACAAATCTACTTAGTTTATTAACTTTTACTGAAACAATGGGCACTTGGAAGGTACATATGTAACCATTGAAACAATGGGAGAAGCATATCTAAATAAAGGAAAGAGATCATCTCCGGATCTTTTCCACCAAATTTAACAATCTGGATCCTTTAAATTTGATCCAATGGCTAAAACAAGGGGTCTCTTTAAAAATTATAATAATTTTAGCCGTTGGATCAAATTTTAAATGCCCAGATTGGTGGATTTGGTGGAAGGGATCCGGAAAAAATCCCTTTCCCTAAATAAATAGCTTCGACTAGGAATAGGATCCTATTTGTGGGGATCCAGAGAATCAATCAATCGTATCCATTTACCGTACATCGTGTGGTTATAAATTATTTTAAAATTTTAATTTAAAATTGAATATAAATAGTACCTAACAAAAACTGATCGTAAGATGTACGATAAACGAATACGAATAATCGATTTCCAAATCCCTACAAAAAAATAAAAAATAAAAACCCGGAGAGGATCCTTGTCCCTTCGACTAATCTTACTATGCATCAATGTCGACACAAAATCGTGAAAGGCAGGAAAAACAAAATAGGGGAGCAAATTAACATACTAAAAAGTGATAAAAAGTTAAAACCCCAAAAAAGTAGGCTGAAAATAGCTAGAATTTGGGACCTGGATTTTCTCTCCGCCCCTTTATGTCTCTTCCCCTCCCCCTCCCCCTCCCCGTCCTTTTAATTTGAACTGTTTAAAAGAAATCTGATGCTAAGTTATATTATATATTTAACGAGTTTTATTTTATTTATTTTTAATAAATAAAATAAGATTTATAAAATATGTGACACAATTTCAAATCATCAGATTTCTTTTAAACAATTCTAATAAAATAATAAAATTAAGGAATATATAAATAAGAGGAGAGAGAATCGTCCTCTTAGAATTTGAGTCATGTAAGGAATATTCGTCCTCTTAGAATTTGGGCCAGAGCCATGCAAGGAATATTCGTCCTCTTAGAATTTGAGCCGTGCAAGGAATATTGTTGCTTTTGTTTCCACATGCATCAATATATATTTTTCTTTTACTTGAAACCAAAGAAAGGAAATGGAAACAGGGCAGTTGACTTTAAGTGTTGTGGGCAACATTTGATTCCGCTGCTGTTGGACTGTGAAGAAGTGCACACAATTGAAACACCAACATCTCTCTTTCTCTCTCTCTCACACACACACACACACAAAAACACACGCATTGTGCATACGCTTCCACTCACTCCCTAACTCTGACTCCCGGTTAGCATAAAGCCCACCCTCTCTTCCCCCACCTCCCCTTGCAAGAACCATCCAGGATTCTTCACCATTTGAACTATTCATCATACAAGGAAGAAGAAGAAAATAAGCCATGGCTGTTATAATCAATGGCTTTCTTCTTCTGCAAGTGCTTTTCCACTCTAGCTCTATGTTTGCTTGTCTTCATCCATTGACCAGCCAGAAAGTGATCGATGAAAGCAGAAATATGAGGACCAAAACCACATTTTCCACTCATGGTGTTTGGTACCATGGAAAAAGAAGTCCATGAGGGAGAGAGGAGAGAGGAGAGAGGGAGACAAAGAGGGAGAGAGAGCATAATATGGCTTGAATTTCCTATAGAAAATGATGGATGTCGTGTGTCATTGTGGAATTTAAAAAGCAAAGTTCCATTACGAAATTTACTTGTAGATGAGGAAAACGTAATTGACATTATCAAAGAAAAGGATGCCAATACTTTTCTATATTTTAAAGGAAGAAAGATTTCAATAAGACAACCTGATTACATAGCTAATTAGACACTTTTACATGGTGAGATTTCATGCATTTAGAGAGTTAAATTTAACTAGAGTTAGATGATACACACGTACAGAAAACCTATATCATTATGAAAGTAGCTAAGTTGACCAAACACATGATCATGATGCCCTACATTGAAGTTTACAATCTTGACACTTTAAGTCTAGGGTTTTTGTAGTATTCATCTCTTGTCATGATTCGAACAATTTCTTTGCAGACCATGAGCCAAACAAATCTACTTAGTTTATTAACTTTTACTGAAACAAGGGGCGCTTGGAAGGTACCCATGTAACCATTGAAACAATGGGAGGAGCATATCTAAATAAAGGAAAGAGATCCTCTCGGATCTCTTCTACCAAATCCATCAATTTAGGTCCTTTAAATTTGATCCAATGGCTAAAAACAGAAGCCCCCTTTAAAAATTATAATAACTTTAGCCGTTGGATCAAATTTCAAGGGCCCAGATTGATGGATTTGGTGGAAGGGATCCGGAGAGGATCCCTTTCCCTAAATAAAATAGCTTCGACTAGGAATAGGACCCTCTCCAGATCCTCTTTGTGGGGATCCAGAGAATCAATCAATCGTGTCCATTCATCGTACATCGTGTGGTTATAAATTATTTTAAAATTTTAATTTAAAATTAAATATAAATAGTACCTAACAAAAACTGATCGTACGATGTAAACAGACACGAATGATCGATTTCCAAATCCCCAAAAAAAAAAAACCCGGAGAGGATCCTTGTCCCTTCGACTAATCTTACTATGCAACAATGTCGACGCAAAATCGTGAAAGACAGGAAAAAACAAAAAAGGAAGCAAATTAACATATTAAAAAGTGACAAAAAGTTAAAACCCCAAAAAAGTAGGCAGAAAATAACTAGAATTTTGGACTTGGATTATCTCTCCGCCCCCTTCTGTCTCTTCACCTCCCCCTCCTTTTAATTTGAACTGTTTAAAAAAAATCTAATGTTAGACTTATGCTATATATTTAATGAATTTTATTTTATTACTTTTATTCAATAAAATAAATAAAATAAGATTTACAAAATATGTGACACAATTTCAAATCGTCAAATTTCTTTTAAACTGTCCAAATCAAAAAATAAAATTAAAGAAAACAGAAATAAGAGAAGAAAGAATCGTCCTCTTCGAATTTGAGCCATGCAAGGAATATTGTTGCTTTTGTTTCCACATGCGTCAATATATATTGTTCTTTTACTTGACACCGAAGAAAGGAAATGGAAACAGTGCAGTTGACTCTAAGTGTTGTGGGCAACATTTGATCATTCCGTTGCTATTGGACGGTGGAGAAGTGCACACAATTGAAACACCAACATCTCTCTCTCTCTCTCTCTCTCTCTCTCTCACACACACACACACACACACACACATTGTGCATATGCTTCCACTCACTCCCTAACTCTGACTCCCAGTTAGCATAAAACCCACCCTCTCTTCCCCCACCTCCCCTTGCAAGAACCATCCAGGATTCTTCACCATTTGAACTATTCATCATACAAGGAAGAAGAAGAAAATAAGCCATGGCTGTTAGAATCAATAGCTTTCTTCTTCTGCAAGTGCTTTTCCTCTCAGCACTTCTCATACTTCCCTTATCTTCAGGTGAGCACATATACTCTTCTTCTGCATGATATAATGCATCAAGGGAGATGTGAACTTGAGTGCATATAGGGCTCGTCCGCTTTACCTTGAATCCCATTTCTGTTTGCATGTAACTGTTTTAGGTTAGCCTAATAAGCTGACATAAGTACCCTTTGTAGGCATTGTTAATGAAGACTTCAAGGACGGCATTGATCCCATTCACTTGCTTCACAAGGTAGAATATCTACTGTTTGTTCTAGGGTTTTTTTATCATAAATACATCATTAGTTACGACAAAGATTAATTTTCCTGATCATGCTTAATTTCTCTTGCTAACAACTTCTTTATTATGATTACGAAGAATGGCGTCCGAATATATTCGAGGAAGCTTTGGAGGCTCGATGCAGAAGTGCACGACTACGACGATGCAGGACCCAACCCTAAACACGATCCTAGAAGGAAACCCGGCAGTGGCAGGAACCCATGAGACTGCCTTAATTTCGGCTTAATTATTAGTCAAGTAAATAATGAATTAATAACACTAGCGTTTTCTCCCCAGAAGGCGCCTACGAGGTTTCGATCACGTATAAGCAAACCTAATATAGCAATCCGAACGAGTTTCTTCATCGATATATATATTGTTGTATAAATCTTGTTTGTGTGTGAGTGTGTGTGGCTACATATGTGTATGAGCAGTGTAAAATATGTACTTATCCATTGCTTTGATAATGAATGAATAATTAAAAACTCTACACAGGTCTTGCAAATCTCACGATTCTGTCGATTCGCTTCCAAATGACGGAGTTTTGATTGCATTCCCGTGCCAACAAAACAAGAACATTGTATTCATCTCGAGAGTTAAAAACGTAAGAAGTTTCCCTATGGCAACGTATAAGGCAAAGGCAATTCCTTAGTTTGATGCTAAAATAATAGTGACTAAATCGCGTGTTGTACATGTATTTTGAATTTTCAAGGCATCCAAAAGTATCAAGGTGCGAGGCATGTACAGTTAAGATTATACAAACGAAACGTGTGAAAATCTATGTTGATGATTTCCATGATTCGGTTATATACAGTCTTGGGAATCCGGAGATTCATGTTGAAAGCAAAGATGTTGAGATCCAAATTCCGAGCGACACAATCCCAACCGTAGCAAAAGCTTGGCCGAATTCATATACAACATTTTGTTGTTGAAATGGCAAACCTTGCCAGTCTGTCCGCCTGCGGATGAACAAAAAAACTAGAACAGAAAATCTTGAAAATTTAAGAGGAAGGTGAAAATCAAGATTGCAGAGCAGATAGATACATACCCTAAATCTGCTATGACAATGCTGATGTTATCTTGCGAGCGTTGATCCTGTTCGATGTATGAAAATATAAGAACCCAAGTAAAAAATCTGACTAATATGTGTAGAGTGAAACATATATTCTATGTAATTTGTTACCAGAGCAGCTTCAGCAAGCGCATCGCAAGCTAGCTGCAAAACAGACGGAATAAACGGCGGTACATTTAAGCATCGGATCACCACTTGAATTACAATGTTAAAGAAGATTGATGCATTCAAATGAAGGCAGTAGTTAAACCTGCACATCTCCATGTTCTCGAAGCTGATTCCTCACAAAAGTCACCGCATCTGAGCTGAACGAGTGACCAAATTTTACATGAGCGATTAAATTGATGAGAAAACATGACAATTATCTGCTTTTCTACCAAGTGTGTTAAATCCAACGGACCTGTTTATGTAGTCCCATAAGCCATCCGATGCTAACAGGACAAATTCTGAATCTGTCCCGAAAGTTACTTGAAAAACATCTGGAGATGCAGTAACAAGGTCTCCACTGAATTGTACTCTGGCATAACATAAAAGGGGTTTGAATCAAAGTATTCTTAGACAGACACAATGACATTCTAAAATACAGAGAAAGAACAATCTAATTTACGCTACTTACTCCGCTACTCTCTATTTTGAAAGTTTAGTGTAGTGCAGAAACTAAATGCTTATGAAAGTGTTCTACGTCGTACTGGCTAGCAATGAACTGATCAAAAGCGTCCTAAACTACAAGAAGCAAACAAATCGATGAAACTAGTCGTCAAGAACACAAGGATTACCCACCGAGAAGCAAATTTTTCTGTCCATCTCCCAACTTCAACTCCTTTCTTCACCATCCTTTACATTACCAAATGCACAAAACTATCAGTATATGCATATTCCGATCATCTACATATCAACGAAAAATAGCTGATAATAATTGATCGTATTTTTGGAAGGATGAACAGAAAATTAAAAGACTGAACTCGTTTTTCTTTGTCTTGAACCGCATGTCACCAAAAGCACGAGAGACAGCAATGTCACCACAAATTCTTCCGTTGCTGATCTATAGACGCCATAAGTTGTCATAACAGATTCAACATATAAATTATCGATGTCATTAAAAAGGAGTTTCTAAGCTCTCATATTATACAGAAGAAAATTGAGAATCGTAAACAAAGAATAGAAAAACACACCCATCCACCTGCTTCTCTGATTCTTTTGATTTCTTGAAGAGAGGCCTTGTTGCTCCCGTACGGTCTATGAGGATGCGTAAGCACCTCCGCCTTTCCAGAACAAGATTGAACCTGCATCAGCCAGTCAGCTGATAAATGCAGCAAATTACATACAAGTTGCAATCCTTAAATTTATTGTTTCATCGTTTTCCTATCGCACTCAACCTTAACATTCCTACACTCGTATCATTTTCTGGCTTTTGACAAATGAAGTTCTGCACGAAATACAAATACCGAAACAAGGTACATACCACACAAGAATCACCAACATGTGAAATGACCAGTGTATCGTTTCCAACGAACATCAGGGTAGCTGTCGAACCAGATTCATCTTCCTCCCCATTGCTTTCGAGCCTTTACAAAATCAAACACCATCTAAACCTTCAACCCAATTATATACGTGTATACAAAACATATTTGAGGCTACATGGTTTACACATTTGATGCAAAGTAAACCAAAATGAATTTACGAGCTTCTTTGCTACGACTTTTGGAATGACTGTAAGTGTTTTCTGATAACCAAAAGTGCTTCTCTCAAAAGTTCTACATATTTATAATAAAAACGTCTAACATAAGTGCTTACAAGCAAAAGTTCTTCCGACCAAACAGTCCAAACGAACTTACCAGTTTAACAATTTGGAGTCAATTTTTTCAAACGCCTCCTGCAATGCTTCTCTAATGGCCTTGAAGTCGTTTCCACGCAGTAGCAGCCCGCCCTGCAAAGCCGCACAACACTCCTTGTAGAGCTCTTCCCTGTTACAAAAAACAGTTTTAATCCGTCACTACAAAAATTGGCAATACCTAGCAAAACGCCAAATGCGCGAGTATGTAATTTTCTTAGACTAGTATATCATGTCGCATATGATCTTCGAGTCTAAACATTTTATCTCTCGCTCTTTTAATCTCAATAAAGTGAAGCAAAATCAAAGACATCGGCTCGGCTAGGTTTTTTAGTATAATTTTAGTATGTTCATACTCCAACTATTAAGATTTTAACGAATTGGAAATAGTGATGTCAAACCTGAGGAACTTGACCGAGTTGAACCCTGCATGGCCGTCAAAAACGGCGGCAAATGAGAACCCTTCAAGGCCATCAGACCGGACAACGACAGCGTCTTCCATCTCCTCCCGGGCACCCTGCAGACTCGTCGAACCCCATCGGATTCCCCCCACGTCGGTCAGGGCAGAACCCGGCGCAGTCTATTGCAATGGCGGAGCAGCTTCTGCTTCTAGCTTTTATGTTAAAGCTGCTTTTTTCGGCTGCGCTCTTGAATGAGCCGCCGTGGTATTTGGTTAGGAGGAACCTATGCAGCTGTGGGCTTATCAAAGCCATTTTATCACCAGTAGTAGTAGTACTACTGGTACTGAGTTAAATCGGTGAGTTGGGACGAGTTCAAGTTCAGAATTAGGAGGAATGGTGGTGGTGGTGGTTGTGGAGGTGAATTGTTGTTGTGAAGGATAAGAGAGAATGAAGCTGCACCTCTAACTGGATTAACAGATTGGGTAGGAACGTGGGACCCCTTTACATTACCATTTGACACTTTGACCTTTCACCACAGGCCACGTCATATGTGGCCCACTTTAAGGTGGGGTCCTAAAGATGCTGACCAAGATTCAATACTATCAATAGGTAGAGAGCTGCTCTAAGAACTAAGTTTTAGCCTCAATATAAACTCTTGTTATGTGTTTGGAAAGTCCACTATCTGTCCAATAGACGATAGCCACATGATAGTTTAATGACATGAAAGAACCTTTTTTTGAAGAGCTACTTCAAAGGACGATCTGTCATGTGTACCCGATTCATCTAAGTTATTCTCCTTTTTAGGTTTTGCAAATATTACTCAATACACCTTTAAACATCACATACCCAATAAGAACACCTTTAAGCATCACGTACTCAATACAAACACCATCTAAACAGCGCACTTGTTAGGTCATCATGATCCAGTGAGCAACACATTGACAATTGGCCTATATCTGGCTCTTACTCCATCTTGATTGGTCTATTACCCACATCCATCGGGTCATTTGTAGGCATTCGTACTTGATGCATGTTCGCACCCTAAATAGGAGGAAGGGAAGGAGAGGGAGATGCTGACGTGGTTTAATCGTAACCGTTTAAAATGCTGACGTGGTTGAATCGAATACTCCTCCCTAAAAAAATCGTACGTACACATCAAGTGGGTCATTTGTAGGCGTTCGTACTTGATACATGTTTGTACCCTAGAAAAACCGTAGAGTGCTATCAATAGAATTTTTCTAGATAGCAGGGAGGAGAAGCAAAAATGATTTAGTGATAGATTAAGAAGCAAAAACTTAATTATAGATAATAGCCTCCAGATTACAATAGAACATGAACTAATGGTGTATCTAATCCACTAATCCACTTTTAAGTAAATTCTTCTTTCAAATAAGAAGGCCCTGGCTTGAAGGGGTCGGATTCTTCATATGCCTCTGGTCTAAAAAACCCAGCATCGTTCACTCGGTTGCTTATCACTTGAAGGATGGCTTTCTTCTTGCCCCCATATTCGTCTCTGTTGTTCTCCACATACTCAATAGCCTCGGCCGCTACGTCATTGACAAAATCAAACCGGTTATCTTCCGATAGCAGTAGTCTCTCGATGTCCATTCCCAAGAGCTGTCCTCCGTCTTTTACCTTCCGAACCTGCTCCTCGAGGAATGGTACTCTCTCCATCTTGTATCCCAGCATGTCATCTTTCTTTGTCTAAAGAAGGAAAAATTTGCAAACACTTTCACGTCACTGATCAACACCAACAAAAAGGATAATGATAAGGATCAAAAACAACATAAAGACTGCATGCCTACAACGGATCTTGTTACGCGAGTCATAGAAAATCAGCTGGAAAATGCCAAATTTGCAGATAAACAACCAGATCCATTTCCATACACTAGAACTCGCCATGGGAGCTAGCTCAAATTGTCAATAGATAATGAGTAATGGGTTGTTTCTACAATATCACAGAATCGCCACACATTTTATTATCGGATTAAATACACGCCGAAACCAAATTACAGAACCATGAACATGAGTTTATACTAAATTTCAAGCCATATATCCTTTTGATAAGCATTCACTTACATGAACATTTAAATTTAGACACGTGAAAACTCTAAATTCCTGCTCCTCGTAATAACACCAGAACTTATAGTTATTCTCCGCCGTGAATTAGTTCTACCTCCAAAATTGGATTGCTTAAAGCTTGCCAAAAGTTTTAAAAACCATTAATGAGGCCTCGTTCGGTGTATAAGATTGGATTGGATAACTCACTACATTCAACGTATGCTAAAGCAATAAATCGATGTCAACTTCCCAATTTTGTCTTACGTCGAAGCTAGAAGATTGATCAGTCACGAAGAAAACGTACGCAACAAAATTTGAAAGTTGACATCCAATTCTTCATTCAACATATATCGAATCTAGTAACTATCCGATCCAAATTCCAATCCTCGATATCAACGAGTCCCACAATCTTCTTCTTTCTTTTGTCCACCATTTCTTTTAGTGCTCAATGAAATACAATTCCCAACCATCAAACTCAACAATTTCTATACTATTTAAGCATTAACAAGGAAAATTAAGGAAAATTTAATTGGGTTTTCTCTTTTGTACCAGTTTTCTTCGCCGCCACACTCTGCGACCTCTGCCATCTTTCTGCATCCGGGAAATCACCTGCAAAATGTTTCACGTCAAAGCAACATAAACAAAACTTTATCTCACTACGTAAAATCGGCTGCATAAATCATACAACGCCACTGCACTCGGTTTTGCGCCAAAATTTTAAAAAATAATAATAATCACAGAAAACAAAATTGAGAAGAAACCCAACTAATACAGTAAGAAAAGGCAACGATTTCTAACCTTCGGCCTCATGGAAAAGCTCAAAATCGCCGAACTTTCCACTCTCAGCTGCATCCTCTGCAGTGAAAAAAAATAAGAATCAACTTAAAAAATAGTAAGAAATTAAGAATTTGAATTTCGCGGATACTGGACTTTATTTTTATCCAAATTATTTTAGAGAGAGAGAGAGAGAGAGAGAGAGAGAGAGAGAGAATTACATGGGAAGGAGGTGAGAGAGTGAAGACGGGGAGCGTCGAGAAAGCCATCGCTGTGCGTTGGCCGTTGCGTTATCCCCTCCTCCGCCTTCCACCTTCCTTAGGTTTATGCTTTAGCTGTTCGCGGCAAAAATGTCCTCACACTAATCTGAATTTACATGTATGCCATCGCATTTGATACGATCGTCCACGTAAGCAAACCACGAATGACATGTTGAGAACGGAACCATGAAAGGACCGAAATGATTCCAGCATGCCTGATATTTTTTTATACATAAAAAACCTAGAATTGTTTTCTTATTTCTTTCATTGGATTCGATTTAAGGATACTAACTCTTAGTACAGTTAATTGACGTTACTGTTGATTTTGTTTGAGGGACTTAGGTGATCAAAAAAAAAAAAAGAAGTAAGCGAGAATTAATTTTTATTTTTATTATCCTTTTATTTTATTCCCTGAAGTCTTATAAAAGTACTACTTTTTCTTTGCTTTGTTTTGTTTTTTTGTTTTTATTCTTTGAAGTCTCTAATAGTCTTACTTTTTTGTTTTTTCACTTTAAAAAAATTATTACTTTTTCTTTTGCTTTTTTCTTTTTTTTTTATTCCCCTCATTTTTCCTTCCTTGGTTCTTCCGCTCGCATCTAGAAAGGACTTTTATTTTGATAATGAGTCATGATAATGGACGTGGGGGTTGAGTTGAGAAAAGGACAAAAATAACCTCACACCAAAACCAAATGACGGTGGTTAGTAACTTAAGAGAGCGTTATTTTAAGGGTGAGACTTTAGGCCCCAAACTCAAATGACATTCCTTATTTTTCTTATATCAAGAGAGTGATTTCAAGTGAGACTTTAGGTCCCTCGTGAGCTAAAATTTTATCTCTGCCACTAGACATGTTGAGTTACTTGAAATGAAAACATTCATGAATGAGAATGATATTTGATTATTCATGCATGAGATAAGCTGCTGAGTGATTGCCTAACTTGCTTAACCACTTAATTTTTAATTTGTTGTGCTAATAACGTATGATATGTCAAAAAGTAAGATTATACAGAAAAATATCTTCTCATAAGTAACATCGAACAAACCAAAAAGTGAGATTATACAGATAATATCTTCTCATAAGTTAACATCGAACAAATGACTTTAGATGGCAACAGGAATTTTGAAATCCAACTTTATTCCTCTAATTTTGAAGTTAGATTTCAAAATTCTTGTGGATCCCATCAACTTTATGATTCTCAATATTCAGTAAATACTGGAGTATCTTATAATCAGAATTCAATTCCGCCCTTTAATTCCTATACCTTTACGTAAATGTCCCATTATTACTATGTTGAATTGCTTTATGGTGACTATATCAATAATAAGAATGCTCATTGGTATTACAAGGAAAAATCGCGGACATTGGTGCCAACCGCTTAATTTTCCAAAAATAAAAAATAAAGTATTGAAACCCTTTGAAAAAAGTTAAGAAAACTAATAAAAATAACTTGAAAATTTTGAGTTTTAATCAAAAGGACAAAAAAAAATATTGTAAGTAAATAGTACCATGAGTGACTTTTTAGAGTAAAAATATCATTTTTGTTAAAAATAAATAGTATCAAAAGTATTTTGTTAAAACTCCCTTTAAATTTAGTACTATTTTTTCTTGAAATATTGGTTGCTATTTGATAGTAGTACGTACAAGAAGTATTTTCTCTCATGTTTTTCTTGGAAACCAGCACCACCATCATCGCCTTATTCCTTCTCGGCATCCACCCATCATGGCACCTCCATTAACAAATGATCTCAAGTATGCAAGAATATAGTGTTGAATATATGGCGGGTTACAATTAACCTAGATATTATTCTACTAAAAACTCAATTCCTAGTTGACTACGGAAGGATTGCTTCTTTGAAAGTTGTATTTTTCACGATCATCAAAGTTGGTATTCCTTAGATGCCCGGACAAATTTGGAAAATGAGAGGGCAAACTTTGTTGTAAAAGAAAAGTTGTTTTTTGGTGATTGAAATATTGTAGGTTTGAGTCTTGAAGCAATCTCTTTGCAAAATAAGAGTAAGATTGCGTGCGATATACGTTTTCCCGATCCTCGCAAAGTAGAGAGTTTTGTTGGATTAGACTCGCCAAAGTAGGTATTATTAGTTGCGGGCCGACAATGTCAACAGGGAAAGGGGTGGTTATGCACAAATTTTTGGTATTCCATGTCCTGCAGGACATTGGCGAAAGTGAGAAGTCTAGAGAGAGGGACAACAGCGAGAAAAGGGGTGGCTGTCACGGGCCGACGATATGGACACGGAAAGTGCCAAGGGTGAGAGCGGCTGGGAGAGGGTGTTTGTGAGTTTTTCATTTCTTAACTATTTTAAAAAGAGCAAAAATTAAAATTTTAAAGAATAATTCTAAAGGTGGATTGTGTTTATAAGATTGTGGGGGTGTTAATAAAAACACTCTAACAAAAACATATCAAAATAAGATACATAGGAGATGTAAAAAATCCTACGTAAACTGTTTTGACAAAAAATAGAACGCAGTTTTATTTATTCCAAAGGATACGCCAAAATCTTATACATACTGACATTCTTCACTTTGTTGTCAAATTTAAAGCAACGTCAAAATTTTCCCTTTGTTTTTGTTTTGTTTTGTTTTTTTTTTTTTTTGATGAGGGGCTCACATATTTCTTTATTTATTGTTTAATTTATTATTAAATTCTGAGCCACTTGATATTATAAATAACTAAAAAGCATTTTAATATGAAATCTCAGTTAAAATATGATAGTTTACAAAAAAAAAAAAAAAATTGCCACATCAACTATAGAAATGAAATTTAAAATTTTTATTTGACATATAAGGACGGTCAAAATCTCTCTTGTTGTAATAAATTCGGTTCAATGAACATTTCCTAAACATTTGCGATTAGCTTTTGATTGATATACGGATACAACTGCAACAAGATGCCTGTGATATGGTTCGAACTCACTTTGCCATTAAAGAGAAATCAAGTTGTAAATCTAATGCAAAAGTTTCAAGCAAGGTGTTTAGAATCATTTTAGCAAAAGCAAAGACAAATGTATATATAAAAAAATATCTTTTCAAGTTTGTCCTTAGACTACATGTACTATTTGAGGACTGAGATTCTCTCCGAGTCCCTTCCATATGGATACTTTAGATCCTTCAATTTGAGAGTTGAAGAGACTCAGAGATGGAGGAGAAGGAAGAAGATGAACAAAAGAAAGTAACACATGAAAGAAGATAAGTAGGAGAAGGTGAAGATGGAAGACGATGAATAGGAGAAGGTGAAGGTGAGCAGGGAACTAATTCAGTTGAACGAAAACGATTGAAGGATTTAGATAGAAGCCGGAGAAGATTATATTTTATTGTATGACACATAATAGTTAGATCAACTGATCAAAACAGTGTATCTGTTTCTTAAGGCTGAGATAGAAGTTGTCGAATTCATAACTAGCCCGACCTTTTTTGGTAATATTAGCCTTCCTCGAACGTAAAAAGAAAATTAGCTCTCCCTGTAAACTTTCCAAGCTCCACCTTTGGTTTGTTCACTTGCTTACGAGTCTGAATCGAGTTCGAATTCTGTTCTTATAAATTAAAATAATTTAAAATATCTCTTAATTATTAAGATAATGTGTTTGTATTATTACGCTCGAAGAGTCCCTTTTATATTTCCCTAAATTAGGGTACATAGCCGACAATGTGTACTATGCAGACCGCGTACTCTCCATTACCTCACAACTTTTGTAGTACGTTATCCCAAATTTATGCCTAAGCCCCGTTAAACCGTCATCTTCATGTGAAAGAGGAGGGATTTTTCAACATGTGACCGATATACGAGATGGTATATCATGTATTACATACAAATAGTAGGATTTGTGTGTTAAAAGTTAATAACTGAAAAAATAAAATTTTTTATCACTTACATAAAAATAACGTCTGTCTTCCCGTCATAGTGAAAAATTTCTCGTGAAACAGACTATAAAAATAAACAATTATTAACAAAAGTAATTATTTATTATTACCTCACAGTTGGGTGTTGGGGAAAGTAAAGTAAACCAGACTGAACTGGTAAATCTGGCAGCTCGCCTCCACTGACTCTGCAAATTGGACTCCTCTCTCTTTATCTCTCTCCTCCCTCTCTCTATAGATTCTGCAAATCTTCTAGGGTTTTCAAACTTGAACAATTTTCTCACGCTTTCCGACGAACCAAACAGGAAAGAAGGAAAATGGAAAACAGAAAAAACAGAGGAGGACAAAGGACACTAGGAAAATGACCGAGCTCAGAACTCAGAAGTAACCCTTACCCTTTGCTTCTTTGACTCCTGGACCAAGACAATCTGAACCCCTAGACCTCCGATTCCCGGAAAGTTGTGTACTTTTCCCTGAAAGTTGTGTGCTTTCCCGGAAAGTTAAGAATCCTAGGTTTTTGAGAGAGGTGGTTTTGGGAGATGGACAGGTCTAGATCTAAGCGGTACTACTATGAACAGGACTACGATACGGAGACTGTGGGTAGGACAAGGCCTCGGTACAACCACCACTATGCGAACAACAACAACCACCGCCACCGCGGAAGTAGCGGTGGCGGCGGCGGCGGTGGTGGAAGACCCAATAAGCCGCCTCAGCAGGACCCGTCGGTTACGGTAACTACGACGTACCGTATTCTCTGTCACGATATGAAGGCTGGAGGGGTGATTGGGAAGTCCGGTAGCATCATTAAGTCGATCCGGCAGCACACCGGCGCATGGATCAACGTGCATGAACTGATTCCCGGAGACTGAGGAGCGGATTATTGAGATTTCCGATACGCGGCGGCGGGACCCGGAGGGGCGAATGCCGTCGTTCTCGCCGGCCCAGGAGGCGCTATTTTTGGTCCATGAGAGGATTCTGGAGAGTGATGGTGCTGGGTTTGGCGGTGAGGAGGAGGATGAGTATGGTGGCGGGGTTAGAGGAGGTGGCGGCGGCGGCGGCGGTGGTGGGAATCGAGTGGCGACGCGGCTGGTCGTGTCGAGAATGCATGTGGGGTGTTTGCTTGGGAAGGGTGGGAAGATAATTGAGCAAATGAGGATGGAGACAAAGACCCAGATTAGGGTGTTGCCTAGGGATCAAAATCTGCCCCGCTGTGTTTCGATGTCGGAGGAGATTGTTCAGGTTTCGGAACTTACAGATTTACCTGCATTCTGATTCATGTGTTGCATGTCACATATTGATGAACCTTTCAGCTGCATTCCATTTTTAGTAATAGGTGCCATGTTTGGAAACTTTTGTTTCCGGTTAAGCTTAGTAAAAACTGCGAAAACCATCAGACCGGACATAAAACCGATTGTTGGAAGCGCGATGATTTAGTAAATGACCTGTACTGCGAGTGAATTAGGCTGATTGAAGGAGTGTTTTCGTGTCCGCGGAATTTGCTGAGGTGTTTGTAGTTCTACTTGGTAGTATTTTTGTGAAGAAATTTGTAGATTTTAGTTGCATCTTGTTGGACAGGAGAGTGTTAAGCGGATTTAAACATCTCTTTCGATATTTAGTTACCTTGAAGTTTGTTTTATGTAAACCATTGATTGGCTTGAATGGCTTACGCTACGCTTTTAAGATACCACTAAGCGTGTGTTGCATTTCTGCTGCAGGTAGTAGGCGATCCGAATAATGTAAAGAATGCTGTGGCAATTATTTCATCACGCTTGAGGGAGAGTCAGCATCGGGATCGCAGTCATTTCCAGGGGCGAGTGCATTCACCTGAACGGTTCTTTCCTCCTGACGATGATTATATTCCTCATATGAACAATGCAGGACGGAAGGCACCCATGGATGGGGCTCCCTTTGTACCGCGATTATCTAACCCCAATATCAGAAACAACAACTATGCCCCCCGTTCGTCTGGTTATCCAATTGAACCTGGGTCTGCTCATATGACTGATAATGTGCAGCCCTTTTCTGAAGACCTTGTGTTTCGAATACTCTGTCCAGTTGACAAAGTTGATCTTATAGTTGGAGATTCTGCCGGAATTATGGAATTGCTTCAAAATGAAATTGGTGTAGATGTCAAGGCTACAAACCCTGTGGTTGGTGAAGATGAACAGATAATCATAATCTCTTCCGAGGAGGTACTTCATAATTATCTGTTGTTTATCTCGATATATAGTAAACTTGTACGGGTGCATTTTCTTCTGTTTGTGTGCTGCTTTGAAGTGATGATACACCCCCATTGCGAGTGGCACTGCTAACTAGTCTGGACATGTTACTCGCAATGATTGGCTTTTGTATATGCTTATCCTCCCCCGCCTGCTTCTTTGTTCTATCTTTTTGTGGAAAGGTTTTGACCATTTAATGTGTGTGCATAGGGTCCTGATGACGAGCTGTTTCCAGCTCAGGAAGCTTTGTTGCATATTCAAACTCGCATTGTCGATCTTAGTCCAGACAAAGAGAACATTATAACTACTAGGTTACTTGTCCCAACAAGTGATATTGGCTGGTTAGAGGGAAGAGATGGGTTGTTATCGGAAATGAGGCGACTTACTGGTGCAGATATACAAATTCTTCCCATAGATGATCTTCCTGCGTGTGTATCAGGGGACGATGTGCTTATACAGGTTTGTCGTTCTATTCTACCTGCTAATTTGATGGAAATGCCAGACTTGTGGTTACATGCCTTTCTTCTCGTTCTTTGAGAGGCTTTCTTGGCTGACCTTTTTTGTTCGTTTGGCTGAATACCTTCTTAGCGACTTGAAAACTAAAAATGATGCTTAACTTTTGAAACATCAGATGATTGGTTCATTTTTAAGTGGGGCGTGTATCTTTAGATATAGGATGATCTTGGACTGTGCTATGTGAAAAATCTACTGGAAGAGATAAAAGGTCTGGTCGTCAGTTTTGCTGTTTGGCTAGAATTTCTTGTGAATGATTGCTTCTATCCCCTGCCTGAGTATTTGAATATGGCGTCTACATTTTGGTGTCTACATTTTTGCTGGACAAGATCATTTACGCTTTAGGCAATTCTGAATGGGTCCTACTTGTCATCTACAGATTGTAGGTGAAATAAAAGCAGCTCGAGATGCCCTTGTTGAGGTGACGTCAAGAATACGGAGTTACTTGTATAGAGAGTTGTTTCGAAAGGATACGACACCACCTGCTTTTGCACCAGGCTCTGTGGGCAGTGCTTTCGCAATGGAGCCATCTTTGAATAACACATTTCCAGTTCGTGAAGCTCATACTGGAAATGATCCTCCTATGAAAATGTATCAGAATGTGCAAACTGGGGGAATAGCACAGCCATCAAAGGTTGCTTTAAGAATGCTCATTTACTGTCCATCTTACAGTTTCTTTTCTCCTTTCAGTAATCACTGCATGGTTTTACTTGAGTATATCCTTCTTTCATTTCTTTGCGTAGGATGCTGGAAGGATTGCCAGTGAAACTGTGAAGCTAAACGAAAGTGAACGGCGTGAAGATGTTCCGAGTTCTTTGAATAGGTAGCAACTTTCTTCTCCGTTTAACTATTAAGGCCTCTTATTCATTATAGGCTCATTTTATTCCTTGTGTGTGTGTGTGTTTGTGTGTCTGGATTTGCTACCAATCAATGTTGAATTATTCATCTTATTGACGCTTTCTCAATATTTTCTGTTAGAATGCCTGTGACACTTGTCACTAGGAGTATACTTGAAGTTGTGATACCAGAGCAGGCAGTTTCAAAGCTCATAACGAAATCGAGAAACAAGCTTGCTCAGATCAGCGAGGTCAGCCTGATGAACTCTTTTAGTCGTTTGCCTTCTTTGTTTTCCGACTTTAGCTATGATTAATTGTATTTTGCGACTTGTATTTCAACCTAAACAGTTATCGGGAGCCAGTGTGACCCTGGTGGAGGATAGACCGGAGGAAACACAAAAGATCATTCGAATTTCAGGAACTCCAGAGCAGGCTGAGAGAGCTCAGAGCTTGCTTCAGGGCTTTATTTTAAGCAGTGAGTCTCTCTTTCTCTCCAAGTGTATGATGTTTGTCCGCCTACGTTCTTTCTTGCATTTCTGATGGTCTTCCTGTAATTTGACTCATAAACCCTCCTTTTTCATCAGCACAAGAAGACGGCCCTTAGACGAGCAAGAGCAACATCGATGCTAAAATTTTGAGCTGCTCTCGCACTCTCGCTGCATATTTTGCTATTCAGATCATTTCTGGATGTATTGTCCTGCAAGGTAGGGAGTTTTTGCTCCATAGTTTAGGCACACATCGGTTTATATGAATGTATCCACTGTAAATGTAATCTCTAAGAACGCTTTAGGTCTAGTTCTCTTCAACATTTCGATTTTCCTGCACGAATCTGGGACGTGGGAAAGCAATTTTTTTTTCGTCTGTGTGTATTATGTTTTGCGTTGATGATCGATGATCACGCATCCGGTGCTGTACTTATGCCGTGATCTTACATTAGATCATTGATGATTGCATGTTCAAGTGTTGCAAATCAAATTAAGCTGTGTATCACTTTTGGGGATGAATCTTTGCTACTGGTGGTGTGAACTGGCCAATTCTCATTCTCCTTCAAACACCAAGTACACCTTGTGAACTGGTCCTACCAAAAACACAGGTCTCCGCAAAGTCGTATATGGGGCCTGGCGCCTGTCCAGTGCCGGAAGGTCAAAGAAGTTGGTGATCCTATTAGTTCATTATTGGTTTACAGAATCATAGTACCCATTGGCTTCGGTTCTTGTTGGACTTATGTCGGATGTTCTCAAGTTCGAATCCTTCTATAATGCTAATGAGATATAAATACGAAACATTTTTATGGTAGAAATGAGTAAGGTCAGTTGGTTAGTGTAACGTGTTTGTCTGTTTGCACGAAAGTTCTGAATATCCCCCTCTAGAGTAGAGTAGTCTTTTAGAAGAAAACATAAAAGAAACGTAAGCACTCATGCTCTTAAGCCCCGTTGACTAGATGGGCCGAGTCACCAAACCCAACCCAACCCAACCCGAACTCGCTGAGTTAACCCACTCACTTTAGCGTTCACCATTCTCGTTATCCTTTGCCGCTTTTGACATCTCGGCCAGCTTTCCGCTCTCACTCTTCAGTCTCTTCTGCAACTCCTCCTCCTCCTCCTCTTCCTCCACCACCACCAATGGCAGCTTCCCTTCTTCTCTCTCCTCCCTTCCCCAACAACAACGGGTACTCTCTCTCTCACTCTCTCTCTCTCTCTCTCCAGAATTTCCATATAATTTCAGTTTTAATTTGTATTAATTATGATTATGCCGGTTTGATTCACCAAAGGTTGGATTTTTAGCAAAACAATTTCCAAAATATTTGAACAAATGGTTTTTACATAGTTGAATTTGTTGGGTTTTGAGTTGTTCATACAAGTATTGGGCTCTTACACTCTAATGCTTTTTCTTTGAACAATTCAGGGTGAGCCAAGTGTGCTTGCATCACATGTTGCACTCTGGCCATTTGCACAAAAGCAGCAATTTCTTCTCTGTTTGTCTCCCGAAAGCGAATTGCAGCTTCAAGCTTTTCATGGTACATGCTAGAAACTTTGACCTCTGTTGCGTCTCCAGAAACCTTGCTTCTGTTGGCTCATTGGATGGAAACCTGGCAGCCCAACAAAAGCACTTTCACAGGTGCAATTTTTTCCCTTCCCAAAGCTGCCTAGAAAAGCACTTTAACATGTACAGTTCCTTTGTTTTAGTTTTGTTTTGCTTTCTATTGATTTTTGCTGAGTGCAGTTTTGAACATAATTAGGCCTGTTTGGTGCTTAGGAATGGATTGGATTAGGTAACTCGTAAGACTATCTTGAAGTAAGAAATGAAGGGTATTTCATTTGTAGGGATTGGAGGGGATACGTTATAAGGTGTTGATATCCCACCAATTGGTGGGGATCGGAAGGGGTAATTTCATTTCATGAGTAATCCATTTTATACCTTCAACTTAGACAAAATTTGTTCATTTCTTCGTTAACATGCCTTGAATGTAGTAAGTATCCAGTCAAATTCAATCCTAAGCACCAAACGAGTCCTTAGTTTCATCTCAAAATGGTGAATCAACGACCCTAAACCAGTTGTAACGATTAGCAGGTTCAAAACTTCTTTTAAGCAATCAAGCGATAAATTAGACGGGATGAAAAGTTTTGAGAGAGAGCTGCAAGAGTTATTTGATGAAGTCAAAAGGATGATTATGATGGGGAACAAAAATGATGCCATAGACCTACTTCAGGCCAATTATGAAGATGTGAAGGAACGGATGGATGCCGGCATTAGAGGCATTGAAGAAGCTGCCACCATTGACATCATAGCTCTAGGATACATGGCTATTGGCGACTTGAAATTTGTTGGTTCCCTACTGGATATGGTAATTTCATTTTTCCTTATGTAGGAAAGGCATGTATAATTTTTCTCCCCCATTGCCCTATGTAAGATTATTGCTCTCCTTTTTTGTTTGTGCATTTTAATGGATGGCCAGTTGAATGAAGTTGTTGGCAGTCTAAAGGATGATGAACTGCTTCTGGATTCAGTTCTCGTGCATATGGGGAGCATGTATTCAACTTTGGGAAAGTTTGAGAAGTCAATGTCTGCATATAGGAGGGCTATTGGTAACATGGAGAACATATATGGTAAGTTCTCTTGTCAATTTGGAGCCTTTTCACGACTCGTAACTCAGTTGTCTATTGCCGAATGGCGTTATATGACTTCTTTGGTGAATGATACTAGATGGCTAAGTGACTTGATCAACTTAAAGACGTTATGATAATATTTTGTATTTAAGTCCTTTAGTTAGCATAACCTAACACAAAATGAAGTCATGATGTATGTGATTTTACATGATTCCATTGTGGCTTCACTGATTGTTGTCTGCAATATTGGAGCGTTTCTGTGTGTTTTGAGTGGTTATTGCCATCTTTTCTTCAGGGGAAAATAGTGTTTTTCTTATCACACCAATTTTGGGGATCGCAAAAGTTCTCACCTCCATCGGAAGAACTTCAAAAGCAGTAGAATTCTACAACCGTGCAATTACTCTTCTAGAATCAAGCAAAGGTGCTGAAAGTGAGGATTTGGTCATACCTTTATTTGGCCTTGGCTATCTTTTGCTCAAAGAAGGAAAGCCTACCGAGGCAGAAACTCCTTTTCTAAGGTTTAATTGCTCTCCGCCTTTCTGTAGATTGGATTACTTTGTTTCTTGTGCACCGACTGATTCTTAGCAGGTTTAGTTTGATCACTTTCATTGTTTCTCGTCGTTTTCAGAGTTTTGAACATATACAAAAAATTATATGGAGAAAATGATGGACGAGTTGGAGTGGCTATGTGCTCCCTGGCCCATGTGAAGTGTGCCGTGGGTAATTGTGCAATCTCTCTCTCTCTCTCTCTCTGCGCGCGTGTTTGTCTCTCTCTCAATAGCTTCTCAGTTTCACGACTCTGATTCTTTACAGGAAATGCAAATGAAGCCATCTCTTTATATAGAAAAGCGCTCGAAGTGATCACGTCTTCCAATTATATGGCCTTAGATGACAGCATAATGGAGAAGATGAGGATAGATTTGGCAGAGTTACTTCATGCTGTTGGAAGGTAGAGTTAATTCTACATTGCAATTATCTAATGCTAATTTCAGAAGAACTGGAAAGCATATTGTTCCACAGTTATTACATGATAGTGGCGGTTATTTAGTTATTATTCTTTGACTAGATGTTGACAGGTACAGTCGGTAGATATTGTAAATTTTCGTCATAAAACCTACAATTGATCCTTCTCTTTAAGCATATTAATTTTATGGAATGCTTGCAGAGGAAAGGAAGGCCGAGAGCTGCTGGAGGAATGTTTGATGATCACAGAGAGATATAAAGGTAAAGAGGACCCCAGCTCAGCGACACACCTTATTAATCTTGCAACTTCGCATTCACGGTCAAAGAATTATGCGGAGGCTGAGCGCCTGCTGAGGACAAGTTTGCAGATAATGGAAAAGACAGTGGGAGCTGATGATCAATCCATCACGTTCCCAATGCTGCACCTCGCCGTTACACTCTACCATCTGAAACGGGATGAAGAAGCTGAACAGCTTGCCCTGGAGGCTTTGCGCATTCGTGAAATAGCATTTGGAAACGATTCCCTTCCTGTTGGTATGTTGTTATTTCACTTAAGCTCAAATAAAATACGGGTTCATTTCACACTTGGTCCTCATCTGATGTGTTACGATGATGTATTTGGCAGCGGAGGCTCTTGACTGTTTGGTGTCGATTCAAACCAGATTAATGAAGGATGACGAATCGTTACTTGAGCAGCTGAAGAGGGTTTTGAGCATCCAAGAGAAAGAGTTCGGTGCCGAGAGCGAGGAGGTGATGATCACCCTGAAAAAAATTGTATTCTACTTGGAGAAACTAGGGAGGAAAAACGACATTTTCCCTTTGCAGAAAAGATTGTCTGCACTTCGATTGAAATTTAAGCAACGGATGCAACATTAATTGCTTGTGATTAAATACATTCAAGTATTGTAGTCGGTCCTAAACTTTAAATTTTAAAATTTTGGCACCGGTTTCGATGATTCAGGCGGGCATCGCTGATGAAGTCACACAACAATAATTAGGGTGTTGATTGTGATTTACGACTTAACGACAGCGAGGAACCTTGGAGTAGTTGTTTGGAGGAGTCACCGCCACTAAAAGGCAAAAAGATAAGACGTAGAGTAAACAACAGCGGGTGTATTGTCATGTGGAGTGTTCATCTATATTTTCAATAATGATATTTGGCTTCTTTGTTTCTGAAATTGACACGACTTTTCATATTGATCATTGAGATTTAAAATCGATATAATCGGTTTCTGAGTTTGTCCACCATCAATTATTTTGGTTTTTCCATGAAAATCTCTATTAAATAAGATTAAAATCATAAAAATAACCTCAAATTTTGTCAAATTATTATGGCTCATTGTTTATTTAATTGAGATATTTTTGTCATTTTCATCCTTATTTAATAGAGATTTTTCACAAAATAACTAAAATGATGTCAATGACCACTTCTATCGACTTCAAAACTCATAGACTATTTTAGCTAAAAAAAATCATGATATTTTAAAAGAGAATTCGAACTTAGCTGTGTGAAGCGAGTAAAACTCACTACAAGGAGCATGCATGTTATTGTTGACCAGCTGACTTAACAATACTCTAAAAGACATATTCAAACTCGGTTACAAAGAGCGAGCACACTACTGTGGACTGATTGGCCTCACGGTACTTTATTTACGAGAAGAACAATTTGACCTCAAGTGTAAGCGGTGAACACACTTATATTAAACAATTAACTTGTCTAACCGTGTTGTAGTTCATGAGAAGGCGAACTTAAACCAACAACTCGAGTATGGGTAATAAAAATACTAATCTTGACCAACCGACTTACCCTTATACGTAAAAATATGACATGTCCGGTCAATGGTGGGTTCAACTTGCGTCCCATAACACGTACGAAGGACGGTTTGGAAGTGAGTGATGTGAGATCTTTTCTATCATGTCAATTTCTGAAAGGAAAATGGGTGGCATGGCCTTGAGCCCATGTTTAAATTACCAATTTGGTAAAACACTTGTCAAAATTTAAAGCTTACAAGTTAATGTCCCTATCAAAATGGAAAGAGAAATAATATCCCAATAGGAACTTCAAAACGAATGGATGCCATAATGCACATTGCACCCCCAATTGTAGCAATATGACTGACGAAGAGAAACTTACATGTCACTGATACACCATTACATATCATTTCGTGTTAATTATGTAATGTTAAGTGTTAATTTCTTTTATATAGCAATTGTGATTGACACATAATATGACTGTGGTAATGTATACACTACTATATGACATCTCGTATTAATCATAAAATATAAGCATTTTAGCTAAAATGGATATGAGATTAACATAACTTCTTATTTTGGTCTCTGAGATTTAAAATTGATAAAACTGGTACCTAAGTTTGTCCATCATTAATCATTTTGATTAATTTATAAAAATTTCCATTAAACAAGAATACAATGACAAAATAACTCTAATTTTTGTCAAATCATTTGACTCTATTCTTTGTTAAATTGAGGGTATTTTTATCATTTTTAGTTTTTATTTAACAGAAACTTTTTTTACGTATGACCAAAACGATTGACGGTAAACAAATTTAAGGACCAGTTCTATCGATTTCAAATCTCATGAATCAAAATGAGAAGTTACACCAATCTTAGAAACTATTTTAACTAAACAAACCTATAGTACTAAGAGTTACTGTTTATCACATAACAAATAATTGACACAAAACATAACGATGACGATGACAGTATAACTAAAAGTCTTTTTTCCCACCAATGAGGCAACGAACGTGTATTTTCCCACCAAAATTAGGACCCAGTACATTTTCCACATCGAGGTACAACCCCCTTCAGCACAACGTACCACTCCATTCAGCACAAAAAGAAAGTGTCGCAAAGCTTCAGACTTTGGTATTTTTGGCTATTTTACACACTGAATTGAAAACGGATATTACCGACTTGCATTATTTTAGCAAGCAAGCAGGCGACGGTGAAGTAGGAAACAAGAAAGGAGGAGAAGGAGGAGGAGATCTCTCTGTCGCCTGCATCTGCTTTTTCGGATCCCAGAAAACGTATGCGAAATCCAGAATTCCCATCTCCTTTTGAAGGTAGTTTTTCTCTTTCTTTTCAAAATTTTCAGATGAAAGTTCAATGCTTTATTGCTCAATCTGTGTGTTTTCACCTTTTTGAATGGGATTTTGTAGTTTCCCTTTGATTTTCCCCAATTTTTTGGAGTGTTCTGAGTTGGATTTTGCTCTAGTTGTGTAAATTTTCCATCTTTTTTTGTCAAAATTTGACGTTTCTGTATGAACAGGCGACCAATTTCCACTTACAGAATATATATAGCATGAACTAACTTGGTATTTGTCAATTTTGATTAGATCTTCAGTGTTTGTACTAAATTATCGTAGATTACGCAATTATAGAATCTGGTTTGGTTTTAGATTCCTTTTTCTACGAGCGATATTCTACTTTAAACTAATCTGAATTGCGGTAGGGGACTCAAATTTAGGTGCATAGCCTCTAGGCTCTAGCCAATGTTGTTACGCACACGAGTGCTTTGATTTCCTGTTAAAAGTTAAAACACTGAATATTTTACAACTAGGTTGAGTAAAAAAATTATGGCGAAAACATCAATCCTTTGTTCCCTATGTGTTGCTACGAGGTTGTATTGCTAGTTTTGCAAACCAATGTTAAAGATTCTATTTTGTGAAATCATCTGAATTTCCGTCTTTGTTTCGTCTTTAGATGTTCCTGCCTTACTCGGATCTGTTTTTTTTTTTTTTTTTTTGTTGAGACTTATGATTTTCCAGTTGAATCTCTTTCGGAGTTAGAGAAGTTGAAAGCTTTCAAATACCTAATTACGTATTCGGATTAGATGCCTCACCGAGTGTGGTACAACTGTATATGGTTTTTTCATTGTAAAATCTGTTACAGATAGACAAGATATGGCGGCATCAGGAGCACGCACTGCATGGCAGCGTAGAGCAAACTGTTGTTTTGTCCAAGAAGATGCGTGGAGCGCGCCAAAATTTTCTTCCTGCCCGTCGTCATCTTCCTCAAAAGCAGAATCTGATATTGCACCCGAGAACCTCAAACCAGATTGCATGCCTTACAACCCAAATCCTGAACTAGCACCCAACACCAAGTGGTGGTTGAACCTGGAACCCAACTGTGGGCTGCAGAAGGAGTTTACGTATGAACAGCTAGCAGTCCTGGAGGCTGAACTTGAAGTTTTGAATTCTGGATTCGTTCATAAAACTCCGATCATAAGTGACTATTACCAGTCTAACGGGGTTTTGGGTACTCAAATTGATATGAAGAATAGTGCTAATTCTTTTGTTGAGAAGCCGTGCCAGGTTTCTGTCACTTGTACAAAAAGTGACCAGAATAAAGGAATGCAAGAGCTCAATGCTGGAATTGGGAATGATCCACAAGTTCCTAAGCAAAAGGACTCGGGCGAGTTTTGGTACTCAGATGATCATCTCTTGAACTTGGATTCTTTGAACTGCTTGAGCTCTGAGGAACCCAAGAAAATGTCTTCCAGTTTGGAATCCCAGTGGGTGGGAACTCAGAAAACTGAACCGTGGTGGCGCTCTGCAGGTAAAGATGAGTTGGCTTCCTTGGTTGCTCAGAAGTCACTGGAACATATTGAGAATTGTGATCTCCCGCGGCCCCAGGTTAAGCATCGTAGGAAGGGTCCCTCTGCTTTCGACCCTAATTCAGCCATGGATCAGATGGCTGAAATGGCGTTCTCCAATATGGACACTTATACATGGGGAAGCTTTACTTCTGGTCACTCAACGCACGAGTCTTGCAGTCCTTTAAGGTAATTTTGTATCTTTTGCTTTACAATTGTTTTCGCAGTTGACCACGATCATCTGGTATTCCTAGATCATTTGCACAAATTGAAATTTTTTATAGAACTGTATGGTCTATGTTTCATGACAATCGAAGATCAACCTGTTACCTTCCCTCTTACATGAAAGGGACAATTCTTCCGAAGTTTTTGTATGTTTCGAGGATCATCATGTAAACCGTAATTTTCGTAATTTTCCTTTGTGCGTATGTGAAATTATTGGCTCATTATAAATGTCTGCCTATTTCCCCCAGTATTAGAGTAATATGCCAGGCTTCTTTACTTTTCTGTACGAGCTTGCGATGCCTGTATCTAAATGAAGCAGATATCTTGTTGCTTGAAAACTTCTCGGAGATTACTTGGTCGAGCTTGAAAACTTCTCGGAGATTACTTGATCAATTTCATTCATGATGCCTTTCGTTTATTGTATAATTTGTTTCAGCAAGGATGAGGTGCAAACCCAAAAGAATTCAGAAGACAATCGAACCAAAGCCGAGCTGTTGGAAGCTTTGTGCCACTCTCAAACACGAGCTAGGAACGCAGAAAAAGCAGCAAAGCAAGCCCATACAGAGAAGGAACACATAATCACTCTGTTTTTGAAGCAGGCCTCGCAACTCTTTGCTTACAAGCAGTGGCTGCAATTGCTGCAGCTCGAGAACTTCTGCCTGCAGCTCAATAACAAGGACCAACCATGGTCCCGTCACAAAGGCAGGCACATGAAGAAGGGTCAGCGCAGGGCCGGAAAACGGGGCGGCAGACCAAGGTGCGAAATTAACACGGGCGTTGTTGCATTCGCAGTGGGATTGGGTCTTGCCGGGGCAGGTTTGCTCCTCGGATGGACGATGGGATGGTTGTTTCCAACGGTTTGAACTGTTCTTCATGCTTAGCTTACCTCCAAGTGCGCATCAACTTGTTTTTAGATTTGTTAATCTTGTAAATACAACTCACTTGATTAAGAGCGTTCTCTCTTTGCATCCGAGGTCTGTTCGTATCCAAAAAACTTGTAGGTACAATAATTAGTGTTTTTGTCTTTACATAAGATGTAATTATGCAGAATTTAAGGGGAATATCTCTAATATAATCAATATTTACTCCTTAATTTCATAAATGTCAATTTTTATAAAAATGATTAATTATAGCAAAAAACACGTATAAATGGACCAAACTTCCATAAAAGCAAATTACATTACACCTACTACAATCGTTGGAGTTCCTTTTTCATTCAAACTCACAAGAAGACTGCTTACTTGTCACCGGACCACCCACCGCGGCAACCCTCTCCCCTTCTGGCCTCTGGTTATCCTTCTCCTTCATATTGTTTTTAAAATTATAATTAAAAAATTAATATAATAATTAATTTTTGTTCTTATACTTTTGGTATGCCTTGGAAACCTAACAAATCAAAGGGAAATAAGGAGGGTCTAGCTAATTGGGAGCGACGACGGCATGTTGCCATCTGTTCTCCGATCATCAGGAGGTCCACCTTTTGTCAAAAGCCCATCACAATTGCATGTAAACAAACAAATTCCAATTTTTATTGCAAAACCAAAATCATAAACAAAACAAAAGAACATTTCTTGGAATTGAATTCAGGTTCATTCATAAACAGGTGTAATTGCAATAATTTTTTTTAAGTGTTTGGATTTACGGTTTGTTTTGTTATTAGCTTTGACGGTATTGAAGTCTATTCCAGTGAAATTTTGGATATATTTGATAATTTTTTTAAAAACTAACATTCATAAAATTAGAGTGTAAATTTTGACTATATGTGATAAATTCTCGAATTTAGGCATGTAATATAATAAACTGCTAGATCTTTATTTCCACATGATAAATGTAGAAGAATCCGGATCCTCTTTGTGAGGATTCTGAAGATCCGTGAATCGTGTCCGTTCATTATACATTGTGCAGTTAGAAATTATTTTAAATATTTTTATTTAAAATTAAATACAAATATTAAAATGATTTATAACTGCATGATATACGATGAACAAACACAATTTATAGATTTCTAGATCCTCATCAAAAAGATCCATAGAAGATCTTGTTGGAATGTGGAAGGCCGACCTTATCACCATCCATCACTCAAATCGGCAATCCAAAGCTGCACCTACTTTTTGTAGCTGCCATAAATTTTCATCTGGATTGAGGTCCACTTTGGATTTTTATGTTTAGAATCACGGATCGAGAGATCCGGATCGCTTAATTTTAATAGCACATCTTCATTAATTCATTTCAATTGTCATTTCACAAAAATCTAAAAATTTAAACGATCTGGATCTCTTGATTTACAAGCTCTGAACGTAAAGATCCGGGATAGATCTCAATCCTTCCATCCAACCACTTATTATCCAAAAGGGACACCCATTCAAGGCGAAAGCACAAGCCAAACACAATTCCTAACTGTTTACCATAAAAAAAAAAAAAAATAATAATAATAAACACACACAAAATTCCTTTGCTCTACGGGAGAGGAATTTGAACGTGACGGGAAGACGGATTCGATGCGCAGTGAAATTCGAACGTGAGTGCAAAAAGGAGTATACAATGTTTAGCCAATTTATGTTGAGAAGAAAGCGTAATCTAACCAGAATTAGAGGAAAGTCAGACTTCTAGAATATGTGTATTGGACCAAACGGAGAGTGTTTAATTTGACAATTTGGCTCTTGCTCGTTGAACTTATGGCTTATTTAGGGTTTATAATTACACATTTGATTAACAAGATCTGCGGATGAAACGACCCCGTCAAAAAGATTAGTCAAAAGACAGTGGCAATGAACCCACTAATTGTTCTTAAACAATTAATTGTATTTGACAAATAAAGTAACAATTTAATTATGTAATTAGCTATTCTAATCAAATAAATAACGAGATTAATTAATGGGATTAATTATACTTAAGTCCTTGAAACTCAAAATGTGTCGCCTAACTTCCTAAAAGACTCAAATTGCTTCTCACCTACTCCTTCCCGTTCAAGTACTGGAGAGTTAAATAAGACTCAAATTGAGTTTTAGAGGGCATACGTTTAATTAATCTTAAGTTAATTAAATTTTGCTATTTTAGCTAAAATAGTCTTTGAGATTGGTGTAACTCCTCACTTTAGCCATTGAGATTTGAATGAATAAAAGTGGTCGTTGAATTTGTCCACTGTCAATCATTCAAGTAATTTCGTAAAAATCTCTGTTAACTAAGGACCAAAATGATAAAAATACACTCTATTGATAAACAATGGGCCAAAACAATTTGACAAAAATTAAGGGTATTTTGTCATTTAATCCTTATATAACGGAAATTTTTCATGAAAGATCAAAATTATTAATAATGAACAAAATCAGGGACTAGCTCTATTGATTTTGGGATCAAACAAACATGAATTTGACACTCTTTGGAACTTAAACAATTAACCACATATAATAACTACTAAGATCATAAAAATAAGCACTCAAAAGATCAAAAACTTATTAACAGTCAAAAATAAAAGAGGATCGAAAGAAGGTATGACAATCTCAAAAACAATTTTATCTAAAAAAGCCGTCAACTTTTACATTACATGCAGATGCTTCCTACTGTCTTCAGACTGGGTGAGTTTGTTGACTTTGACTATATCCGGTACAGCGGCCTATTCGCCAACAACTTCCCATATTCCTATAAGGACGCGGCCATATCCAACCAGGTTAAAGTCCTCAGTTTCTCTCCGAAATCTGTACAAAACGCAGATTGCCTCCCCTCCCTCTCTCTCTCTCTCTAGAATTTGATATCACTCGTTCATCCCGAATACCATGCCGTTTTGCGAGGTTGCGTCGCCGCAGAATGCCGCCTCGGCGGACGCGAACCTCAACGACGGAATCAAAATCTTCTACCAAACGTACGGCCGCGGACCGACCAAGGTCCTCCTCATCATAGGTCGCCTATCTGGAAGATTCAGTTTTTTCTTCTTTTTATTTTTTTCTGATCGGATATTATTTCTTTCTGTTTCAATGATTTATACGAACTGGGTTTTGGTTTGCTCGGAATTTTCTGTGTTGTTGATGGATTTTGGAATGGATGGACAGGTTTGGCGGGGACTCACGACTCGTGGGGCCCACAGATTCAGGGACTGACGGGGTCCGTTGCACACAATGACGACGAGAGGACGTCAGCCGCTGACTGCTGCGGCGATGAGGCTGGTTTTAGCGGCGGTGACATCGAGGTGTGTGCCTTCGACAACCGCGGCATGGGTCGGAGCTCCATCCCCACTAAAAAATCCGAATATACGTGAGTTTTCTTTACTCATTTGAAAAAGTCAAATTTTTCTTTCTCGGAAAAAATAGTATTCAATTGTATAATTATATACTGTAGGACATAGATGTTTCTTCGACCCTCGCAAAGCGAGAAGCTTGTCAGCTTGTGGTCGTCCTTATAAGAATGTATATGTACTTTAACAAAAAATAGAACCCTTTTACGAAGCGGCACTAAACAGGCAATAAAACGCGTTTTAGTGTTCAGTTAGTGCTCATTTGTCGTCTGTTGAGTGTCAATTTAGTGAAAAGTTTGATTTTTTATTGAAGATTTGTAAAAAGTTACGTGAATTTTCCGAAAATACGTGATAATAATGATCAGAAGTTGAGTTAATGATGTTTTGTTTTTTGTTTGTGGCAGAACAAGAACAATGGCAAAGGATGCAATTGCATTGATGGATCACTTAGGGTGGACAGAAGCCCATGTTTTTGGGCATTCGATGGGTGAGTTCATGTTTTCCGCACTGACCGAATTACAAACAGTGAACTGAATTTACTTTGTAGCAGGACTTGGTTTCTTTCTTTCTTTCGTTTCGTTAATTTATTTGGATTCGCTCTTTAGTCTGACGTGAATTTTGTTACCACAACAGGAGCTATGATAGCTTGCAAATTAGCAGCAATGGTGCCCGATAGAATTCTGTCGTTGGCTTTGCTTAATGTGACCGGGGGAGGTTTCGAATGTTTACCAAGGGTTCGTGACTTCTGACCCATGAACTAGAAACAGTACGTAAGTTTGCTTGCAGGAGGTGAAGTTGATTTCTCATTAATATGTTCAATGTGTTGCAGCTTGACCGACAAACATTATCCATTGCTGTCCGGTTTTTGAAGGCAAAGACTCCCGAGCAAAGGGCGGCTGTAGACTTGGACACGCACTACTCGAAGGTCTGCAGTGCTCTTGCTTCTATCATGTTTCCGTCTGTTAACTCTGGACCAATAGGGACATGACTCATGCTTTAAAGAACGAAACTCTCACACATTCGCGGTATTAACGTGCAGGGATATCTTGAAGAATATGTTGGATCCAACACGAGAAGGGCGATGTTATATCAAGTAAGAAATCCTAAAGGAACTGCTTATTGATTATTTTGATATTTCGGTTGAGGCTTAGATACAATTTGTAGTACAATATCCATGTTCTGAACTGGAACCTATCTCCAGGAATATGTCAAAGGCATATCAGCAACCGGGATGCAGTCCAACCATGGTTTCGAGGGTCAAATCAATGCATGCTGGACGCATAAAATGACACGAAGGAGATTGAATTGATCCGCTCAGCAGGATTTCTCGTTTCAGTCATTCACGGCAGGTGCGGTCATACATACTATGCAGTGCATCTCAGATGTCCCCTTTTTTTCCATGTTGTGTGTCAAGATAAGACTGTTAGTGGTCTGGAATTTGTATGCCTGCATAAAGGCACTGCTGCATATATACATTTCCGACTCTCAAACAAACTATCTCCGAAAATCAAGTGTTTGTGTGAAACTTATGAATTTTGATTACCAGTTCACTACATATTCTTCTGGCAACCATCTTGACATTCATTAAATTGATAGGCATGACGTCGTTGCTCAAATATATTATGCAAGGAGACTGGCAGAGAAGCTGCATCCTGTTGCTAGAATGGTAGATCTTCCTGGAGGGCATCTAGTGAGTCATGAAAGGACCGAGGAGGTAATTCTGTTATATGTATCATCCGTTATATAATTCAATGATGCTTGACGTGGAAAGGAAATCTTATGTTAATTTGTTTTGAATATCAGGTAAACAAAGCTCTTATGGAGTTGATCAAGGCAACGGAAGCAAAGACCGAGCCACATGATTGGACAAATTTGCCTGAAACAAGTTCGGGTAAGCAAATTTAACCTAAACAAAATCTTCCATCTCTTTTCTGCATAAGAGCATGGACCAAATGGCAGCATGCCTGCTGTATTGATGTCAATATAATCCGTGATTACGTGCTAATATATACTGTCTTTTACAGGGTGGATGGTTACAAGAATTTCCCGTATCAGAAAAAGCAGCGCAGAAGGGAGAAGTGTGTCATTCACGCCCAGCATATCCGAAAGGCTACATCTTTTCCTCTTTGGCCTCTTTTCATTGGCATTGGAGAATGGAAGGAGAGCCCTCAGAACCATAAAACCGGCAAGAGTCGGACATGCCATCGCATAAGCTGCTGCTGATCGTCAAAGAACCCCCCGCATTTCTTTCAACTGGGGTTCATCGATTTTTCATTCCATCGGCACTGGTGAATGCTGCGTCAAGTGTTCTTCCCCGAAACCGGGATTTGTTAACAAGATATGAGGCCTTTTATACAGATATGTTGCAACCGGAGGCAGGAACGGAGAGAGGATCACAAGGGCCAATATTTAGGCGGATCCCAATCCTCAATTCACTTGCAACATATCAAGATAATATTTTATCCATTTATACTGGAGACAAACAAGTCTTTACAGATTGTACGCTTTACAGAATGAGAGCAAACCAGAAATAGGGTGTTTCTATTTTTATTTATTTGGTGTTATCACAATAAATTTTTGGTAAAAAATTTTGAGATATTGGCTAATTTTTCTTCGAACTTTTAATTTTAACCGATTATCCTTGAAATTTTATAATTGGTCAATTTTTCTCATAAATTTTACTTTTACCTGAAAACAAACGAAAACACCTTGGGACTAAATGAATCAAAGAAAAATCAAAGAACGAGAACGAAGGGATGAATATACAGGAAAAACCGGGAGTTTGAACAACCAGCCCTAGTACTAACTAAAGCCAGCACAAATATTAGTATGATATACAATTTGCACGCAGGCACAAATATTAGTATGATACACAAAATACATGCAGGCAGCATCAAGCGGTGGTTTACCTCAAACAAACATATCATCTTACCCAAGACGCATACGCCTTTGTAATCAACAACTATGGTTCATAAACTTAAAATTGAAGACGACGACAAATTGAAGACTGAATATCGGTAAACCAAATGATGATGTTATGTACGAAAAGATAACGTACTTGGCCTTTGATTGTGTCTGCCAAAAAATATGTGCTGTTCGATTGGATGAGAAGAAGGTGTCGAAATTGAATGAAAGGAAGGGAGGTTTTGAGAGAGAAAGGGAGAGAGAGAAAGGGAAAGAGGAGAGAGGCGAGAGGAGAGAGAGAGAGATGCTATTGTTATGCTGAATAAGATGCCATCTCTCGAGCAACGGGAGTTTATAGAGAAGGATGGCAGATATACGCTGGAATATACCCAAATGCCTACGCGTATTAACCAACAGGATCCCCTCCGGATTGATGAAAATTTTAGGGATCCGTGAATTATTTACCTTCATCGTAAATTGTAGAGTCATTTTTTGTTAAGTATTATTTATATTTAATTTTAAATAAAAATATTTAAAATAATTTCTGACCACATAATGTATAATAAATGGATACGATTCTCGAATTCCAGAATCCTCACAAAGAGGATCCGGATTTACGGATTAAACCCCGAAAACCAGTTTCCGTACCTTACTCCCACCACTAGAAATAAGGGTACTTCCGTCAGTTTAAAAATATTCTTATACCACACAACCCCTTCCTTTACTACGTCGTTTTGGTTTTTTGAGACGCAGCGATTTTGTTCGTCTAGAAGACTAGAACCCGATAAACCCCAGTGAGACGCTCTGCTCAGCGTCTCCAACTTCTCAGCTCCAGAGAACCATGGCTGCAGCAGCTTCTGACATGGCAGATGCCCAAACCCAGTGGGAGTTTAGCTGGTAATCTCTCTCCTTCCTCTGTTATATACCAATATCTATTTTTCTCTCTATGTTTTTCTGTTAAAATCTCTTTACTTTTGTGATTAAAGTCAGCAGTTTCACCTGTATTTTATCTGGGTTTTGATTATTTTCCTCTTTCAATACCTCAGGAACCGAAAAGTAAGTTGATTTTGGATATGGGTTTGTTTTCGATTTGCAAAAGGTTCTATCTTTATGTATATTATTCGTGAATTTGCTCTCTTGAGTATCTGTTTGAACGAATTGCCGTTTATAGTATCTGTTTTTTGAATTCCTAGTTAGTTTATTTTCGATAGTTTTGCTTCTGGGTTGTTGTGGTAATCTTATATGTATAGCCTGTAGCTTGTTCTTTCGTGTTAAAACTGAAAGGAACTCATCTCGTTCGTTGAAAGGAACTCATCATTCAGAATGTGAAGGACAACATAACTTTCTTGGAAAAGTTGAATTGCTGCTATATTTCGACGTTTCACTTCAGTGTTAGATTTTCAGAATTTTGGTTGAGCTAATTTGTGGATTCATAGGAGCTGATGGGGTTTTCAGCTATGTTAGGGAGTAATTCTAGAACCCTTGGTGAGGTAGGTAGATCAAGATATACTGAGGCGAACCCTGTTTAACCATGTTGTGGATGGATTTTGAAATTACTCTAGACAGTTTTCAATAAACTTGAATGTGAAAACTATGCATCAAGGACTACGGGAGGACATAAGGTTGCGTGGCCTGGTAGAAGTTTACAAGGGTTGTTTCTCTGGGAAGAGGAGATCATTGATTCAACTTTCATCATTTATAATTTATCTACTTCTGCGAATTTTTAACCCGCATGGTAGGAGCATCATTATTGAGAAAATGGAGGTCTGTGTGCAGTGACTTGGAGGTAGATTTTGAGTCCGAGGAAAGTGCTTCAATCGTCTATGCAACATTAGCTGTTGATAAGGAGGTGATGCTTCATATGTTAAAGCTATGTTTTGATCAGTTCATAACTTCATTTGGTTTAATTGTTTATCTGATTCCATCTATTACTGCAGTTGCAACCGGACAAGGTGACGAGGCAGATGTCAGTTTCCAACTGCAAGCTTTCAGTGTAAGCATTTCCGTTTGATAAAATTAATTTTCCAAACTTTTATTGAAGAATCATTGGATTGATTCTGATGTAAGAAAATGCTATATGGGGTGAGGGAGGAACAATGTTATCGCCTAACGACCAAACTGTTGACAAAAAAGTGGGTTCAAAGCTAAGTTGTGGGCTAAATTCAGAAAATCTGCTACAAAAAAAAATTCTGCCGAACCTGTGGTTGATTTTAATCTTATGTACAGGCACTTTGAGGCTGTTGAGGCGAGATTTCTTCGAGCATCATATAGCGCTTTGTTAGATGTATTGACACTCGCCACAAAGACAATCGAAGAATTTGGAAATGGATTAGAATTGTGACCAGTTAGCTACTTGCTTTGCTAGTTTTTCTATGAAATGATTTGTAACAATTCAAGTTGGTATTTGTGGAACTGTTCACAGCATGAAATGGGAGCTTGATTACTTTGTTATGACCTATAAGATTCAGCGATATATTCAACACACCGTATGAATGCTATTTTATAGGGATGGAAAAAATTCCCAAAAATCCCAAACCAAACCAAACCAAAAAAATACCAATTCCAAACCAAAAATGTCCCAAACCGATTTTTCCAAAATTTCGTTATTCTCATACCGAAAAAATACCGAAATTTCGGTATGGGAATCAGGATTGTTTTCCCAATATTTTGGTATTTCCATTCCCAACTGAAATATACAATTTTAATTATTTTATATATATATATATATATATTTACACATATAATAATATATATTATTTTTTAATTACAGTTAAGAGTTAATTTGAACCGTTGGATTGTTTCAAATTAACTTATGTCGTCCATCCATTCCTTGTTAGGCTTTCAGCTTTCTCCCCGTCGAGGACACCACTCCAGTTTCGAACTTTTATTTTATTTCTCAAATCTCACTCATTCAGACTCAGTCTCTTAGCTTAGTCTCACTCAAATCCAACTCCTGCCAACCATTCACCGGCCCATTCACACAGAGCCACAGCCACCATCGGTCTCTCTCTATCGCAACTCTTTCTCGTGATTCTTTCTCTCAAGAGCCTCTGACTCTCTCACGCGATTCTCTCTCTCAGATTCAGACACAGGTAAATAAATATGGGAATTAATTTAAGGTTTGTGAAATTTAATTTACGAATTCTAGATTAGGGTTTGTAATTTTAGGGTTTTTGAAATTTAATTTTTGAATTCTAGATTAGGGTTTGTTTGGTTTCACAGATCAGATTCTATTTAATTAATCTAATGGTTCAGGTTTTTAGGTTTTTGCAGATTGGTGAAGGTCTGAAGGAACTGGGCTCTTTTGCTTTGCTACTGCAGCTTCTGTGCTGGAGTTTTATTTACCAACAAGTAAATATCTCAGATGAGTTCTCTTGAATTGTATGCTTCTTTGATTTAATTGTTGTTGCTTTTAAGAGTGTAATGTGGGACATATTTGTATTCAAGTCTTGGAAGTATTTAGTCTTTAAGGAATCTAAGCTTTTCGAGCTTTGGTATATTTACATTAGTCATTGGTTGACCTTTGTAATAGGCTGTGGTTTATTATCTGGTTTAATAATCTCTCGATGCAAAGTGTTTCTTTCTTTTGAAGCCTTCGTTCTTCAACTTATTTAGTTGAATTGCTGGAGGACTAGCAAAACGTCAAGCTTAACATTCTGGCGCTAACAGGTTTAGGCCTGATGAGGCCCACAAACCTTTTGGCTTAATCTTCGGTTGGAGATGATTTTCGTGTCATTCTTAACTATTTTTAACCCTATAACCCTTTGACCGGGTTGGTTGAAGATGACCTCAGTTTACAGTAGCAGCTAGATTGATTGCATTCTCCTACAAAACGATCGGATTGCTCCTAAACCCTACATTGTATGATTGATTATGAAGTTCCGGACAGCTTCTGCCATTTTTAGAGTCAAATGACAACGTATTTCATCCCAACGCAATGGTGTCGAGAAATGACAACGCATTTCATCCCAACGCAATGGTGTCGAGAAATGACAACGCATTTCATCCCAACGCAATCGCTTCGAAAGTATTTCTCTTACCAAGCAAACTTCTGAAATGGGAAGTAATAATTGATATATACTGTTTACAAAACTTGAAAACATTACACTGCTGTGTAAAAGGAAAAGGTCATCAAACAAAATGGGAAAGCCGGAAACAGTAGTTTTCTGCTTCAATTGTCCATCCTCCCTCAATTTCTCAGTATTCATCCAAGTAAGTGTATAACATGTCATCTTTCTTCGACTTGCGCCGGCTAAGCAAGGCCTTGAGGAGCCGTTTACTTTTGCTGGGGTATTGATCAACCTCTCGGCCATTATCTCTTTCAGCAGGTAATCGCATGGAAGCTGACTTCCGAGGCTCTGAAGGGTACTGTATACACATAAACACCGAACTCTCAGTTTACAACTATCACAATAGAAGGGAACCGTACCAAGTATGTTGAAAATCTAATGAACTTCAAAAGAAACATTGAATAAGTAATCCGCGTTTGACACCCACCCGTCTTCTTGGATTAGAAAGATTTGGAGTTGTCGGCCTACTTGAGTTCGGGGTACTAGACCGACTTTTGTTTGGAGTAGTTGGCCTACTTGCAAGAGATCCAGACCGTAAAAGTGGAAATCGATGAGGCGAAACTGTTCGCTTGTCTGATTCGAAACATCAAAAATCAGATTATCAATATCCAATTCACTATAATGGTGTCCATATCGCAATGTCCAAGATGCATACTCACCTAATTCCTTTTTGGGCATGGTAGAAGTAAAAGAAAAAACTCCGGATCGTTGGGGAGGTTGTGGAGAAGGAGACGGAGAACGCCCTTTGCTGCACAAAACATGACCATCCTTTATGACATATGAAATTGGGTCACCAACTTGATTCAAGCAAGATACCGCAGTAATATTTACCTGACTGTAGACGGTGGGGTTTCTCTAATTGTAGCGCGAACAGCTTTAGGATCGAATCAAATTACAACAGAAACCAGAATATGTTAAACTCTTGATTAATTATACACACTGAAACAAAATGGGAGATGAAGCATCTTACCATTCCGAAATTGATGCCAATCATCTTCATCATCTAGGTTGCATCCTTGGTATTTGGATTTAGTTCTGCTGCCTCCGTGCATGGTCTCACCAACTGAACATGATTTTGAGTTGTAAGAACTTTTATTCATTTCTATCTCCGTATTTCCAAAAAACGAGATCAAAAATCATAAAATGCAGTGTTTTATAGTATGAAAACAGTAAACTGAGACAACGGTGGTGTACTTGCCTGGCAAGATGTACCGCTTGTGGTATTTAGGAGTATCTATAATCGATGACTGTTGAGAAAGACCCTCATGATCAATGTATTCTTGACATGTCCTTATCCTCTAAAAGAAACATAAAAGAGCATTGGTTTCTTGTGATTGAATACATAGCTACAAATTATAGGATTGAATTCGGTGCAATAAGTCGCACACTGTTGTGCAATGACCCGGGGTAGTCAATCCCGAATTAGACGGGGGTAACCAGTGACGTGGCAAAATTGTTTTCTCAACTGACAATTATCATGCAAAACTTTTGAACAATGAGCTACGAACTTACATGCGAGACTAACTATCTTATACCTCAGCGCCTAAAAGGCATTTTTCGCCGATCATTTTATACAGAAACACATATCGTACAAGCTCGTTCAAGATTTCTTTAATTTCACCGTTAACTTACCTGTTCAATGCAAGATACCCGAAATTCTGTGCCAGAAACTTCATCCACCTTTTCATCGAAGAGATCGTTAACCTTATATGTAACAGAACCCAAATGATCCACTGTATTCACGAGAGCTTTAATGGCATAATCTTTCAATGTTTCCACCACTCTGCACAACAAGATGATATTTGTTTAATTTTGCAAAAAATAATATGGATAGAGAGAATTAGCATAATAAAATCCCAATTGCCATGAATCGGAACAACTCACATATGTTTCTGGTCATCATTTGTGTACGATAGTTCAAAGTACTCTGCCGCTGAGTACAATTGCGTTCTCAAATTCTTCAAATCCTGAAAAGTAACGCAATGCACAACGAAAATCACACAACTTCAGTTGCAGGGATTTTTGCACTATAACAAGCTAACGTCTCCTGAATTCGGATATTTTTAAGTGAGGTATACGAAAAACCAAAGAGTTGATTTTTCGGGAAGATAATGAAAGCTCATAAGATTTCATTTCACTGAACTTGCAAAACTAAGAACCAACTAAAACAGTAATATTTAAGCAAAAGAGGAGTACCTTGAGACTATCAGAGAAGAGCAAGCTCTGATGCATAGAAACCTCATCAAAATTAGATGCTACCCGAGGGACCGGCATTGCAGATGTAGCCATCGTTCCTGCGAGCTACACTTCGAGAGTGAACGGAATCAAGATAAGAACTTAAAGTTGAAACAACAAACACCAAGAACATATGAGGTTATAGTGTGGCAAATGCACCACTCAGCCCCCGAAAACCAGCGAAATATCGAAATTTAAGCTAAATCAAATCCTTCCAAAGAGAAAAAGAAACTTTAGAGAGAGGGGAAGAGGGATGTTATGCACCAATGAAAACTCCATTGAACTTTAAAAATTTAAAGCTCAAATAAAAACACCAGGTTTTTGCCTTTGCAAGAAAGAGAGGAGCCTCTCCTTAAACAATTAATTAATGAAATACCCCAATCTACTATTTTAATTAGAGAATAGTCCTGCCAGAGATAAAAAAAAATGGGAATAAAAAATGCAACAGCATAAAGCTTAGTGCTTTGCCTCATCTCAGCAACCATTTCAGACAAGAAAATCAACACAACACTTTAAAGCTCATTTTGTCTGAATCACAGTAACATCAAAAGCTGTCAAATTTCAGCCCCCTCTCTTTAATTTCTGAGATAATTCTGGGTTTTCAGTCTCTTTTTTTTTTTTTTCAATTAAATTCAAAATTCAAATGGGTAATTCTGGAACACATAGTTAGTGAATCCCAATCCTAAAACGCGTCCAAATTTGTCAAATTTCATGACCCTTTTCTCTGTTGGAGAGTCTAATTTTGGAAATGAAAGAAAAATTACAGTGCATTTGAGGAGTTGTATTAGCTATGCTGAAAGTTCTTACCTTTCTTCTTTCTCTTGAACACAGTAACAAAAAAATCCAATTGGGCAAAATTTTCAATGCTAAGTAAACACTAACCTGGTAGCTTTTCAAGTGAAAGTTCTTCTGGAGCTGAAATTAAAACTACCCAAGAAGGCAAAAACCCAGAAACCGACTGGGTCGAATTCAAAGTTTGAAACTTGTGGAGTATATGAAACCTAAATGGTGAGGAAGAAGGAGGAGGAAGGACAGGAATAGGCAGCTCGTTTGAAAGCGGCTTACTTGGTTCGGTACAAGATTTGACTAATCCAAAAGAAAACGACAACTCTTCTGCTTCCTTTCTCTCTGTTGTTTTGGAGATTCAAATAGTTGAGGACTTAAAAAAAGCAGACAGAGAGTGGGAGGGGAGAGAGAGAGAGAGAGAGAGAGAGAGAGAGAGAGAGTGGAGGGACATCCATCAAGGCTAGCACGTCTGTGTGGGCAGGGAATCTGAGGCAGTTTTAATTTATAAGGGAGCAAAAGTCTCTCCGTGTTTGAAAGAGGATTTTCTCACCCTTTTAATTTTTTTCTCTATTTTTTTTCTTACTTAAATGATTACGGTTAAATTATATTAATATCTTATATTGATTTTTTTATAAAGATAATAAGATAAAAAGTAAAATATAAGATGAGAGGAGTAAAGAAAATGTGAATAGGAGAAGAAAGAATTCTACTCCATCAAGAAGTATACTGTTGGACTAATTAACTCCTCTCCCTATCATTAGCCACTTTGTGGGTCCTACCTTCTTATTAGTTGGGTTTTTTTTGGTGACAGCGATTCTAAATTTTTATATTATTTTTTGTACACCAGATATATGACGTGACGATTGATCATTGAAGTTTTTACCATAATCGCAAGATTATTTGATCTACAACGTATAGTCTACGAATTTGTTTTATCTAAACAATTTTTTTTTCCATCTTTGCAAGGTGCTAGGAAATCATCTTGTAGACCATACGTTGTAAACAAAAAGATATGACGGTTGAAAATTAGATTTTTTTTATTTATAATGATTTAAAAAAAAAAATTTCAATTAGCAACTGTCACTTCATGTAACCTACAAATATGAGCTAAAAATATGGTCTTTGATATAGTGTGGGTCCACTTTTTATAAGCACAAACAGTAGACTACCTCAAAAAATGGGAAATTGCTTTGTTGTTTTTTCACCCACTTCTTGTTCTTGATATGGAAGAGATGAACTTCTTTTGTTGGGTTTCCCACTTCCACTTGTGGTGGTGGTGGGAAAAGGGGTTCCATCTCTTCTCGTAAAATGGTTTGAAATTTTGAGTCCTTAGAAAACTTTGGTCTTTGTAAAAATTTTCCCATAAAAAAAAAACCCTAATCTTTTTTTAGTACTCTTATCGAGATTACGAAAACGTCACTGTAGTAATATCTCAAATGAGTTGTGGCATTTTTTTTTTTTTCACATAGCGTACATAATTAACTTGGAATGCCGTTCCAAGAGAATCCGATTTTAGGGAAGTTGTTCTCAATTGGGAGGGGATATGGTACGCTGCTAGGCCCACCGAAGGCCCTTGTAATGGATTTTGTAAGGCAAGGAAAGGTGTTGGTATACTGTCAGATTTCCTCCCCAGTTGTTATTAGTTGCTAGTGCCTATACCACTACACATATAATATAACACATTGGATTGAATGGGGGAAAATGTGGGTGTTGAAAAGCACATATCAATGACCCACGCACGCATGCTGTTGGTAAAACCCCAAATACGTGACCTTGGAGGCACTCATCATGCCTCATTAAACAAAGTCCCCGAAGACAAGTAGAAGAAGGGAAGACCTCATACCAACATCATTTTCAATTTCCGACTCTACGTAGACGTGAGTTAGGTTAATCATTCCAAGTGCATAATGTCTTTCTTGTTACTTTTTACGAGTTTGAAATCTTATCATGCAATATGTTAATAAAATTTAAACAAGAAGAGGGATACTTGAAAAATAAGAAAAACACATATTCTCTACTTGTATAATAACATATAGCGTAATGACTCGTGTTCCCGACATATTAAAAAATCTTTGTGTTGCTTGAGGTCGAGGGTTACCCACCACCGTTGAAAATGAAATCAAAGGTGATGATTGATTTGGAGTAGATAGCTAACGTGGATCCTACTGAGTTCCTCCTTGCTACTTTTTTCTTTTTCTTTTTCTTTTTCAACCCATAAACCAAAACCTTTTGGAGTTGTAGACTTGTAATTTCAGCTTTTTTCTTTTGTTCTCGATTGAATGAATCCGTGATTTTAGCTTCATCAGGTTTTATAAAATCAGCGGCGTGATTGGTGGCAATTGAGTTGGGTGGGGTTATGCAGGATCGCAAGACGAATAAGCAACGTAAGTACTGGAATTTGATCCTATCCGGATTCATTTTAGAAGATCTTAGAGAACTTCATATCTTAAACATTCATCGTGTATTGTATAGTCAGAAATCATTTGACTTTTATTATTTAAAATTAAACACAAATAGTATTTGAAGAAAAATGATGACACGATGTACGATGAACGGTCAAGATGTGAGGATTTTTAGGATTCTTACAAAGTTGATTCGAAGAGGATCTTCTTGCCATAATAATGATTTATCGATTGGATCTGATTTTCACTTACCATTTTTAACCCTTCACACACACATTCATTTTTATTTTTAGCTATCAAATTAAATCAAACGAAGCAACATACAAGATTGAACAAATGTCTGTAAAATGACAAAAATTATGTGTGTTTAGCATTTCATTTATCTGTAGACTCTATACAACTTAAGTTAAACAACACAAAATTGCCTGTTTTGATCTAGTCACTTAGCTAAATAAGTTTGTGACTCAAGCGATTAAGAATATTTATATTTACACTCAAAAGTTCTATCTTCAATTTCTGATCCTCAATTCTTCTAACCTTTATGGGGAGGAGAGGAGTCCCTTAACTTTAACTCAATTAGAGTAATGGTCTCTCAAATAAAAATTCATGAACATTGCCCTCTTAACTCATCAAAGAGTGCAGCTTGGAAGGACCATTGCTACAATTAGGTTAAAGTTGATGGATCATTGTTCTAATTGGATTAAAGTTGAGGGACTATTTCTCTAATTAGGTTAAAGTTAGGGCTGGGCACGGGCCGGGCCGGGCCCAAATTTGGAAGAACCGGACCTACCCGTTTTTAAAATGTAACGGGCCGGGCCGGACCGGGTGTAGGGATTTTAAGTTTGGGAACCGGACCTAACCCGGCCCGTATCAAACGGGCCGGTTCGGGACGGGTCCACGGGTCCAATAACTTTTTTTTTTTTTTTTTAATCTGGTTATGGGCATACTAAGATTGAAGCAGAATGAGGTGTGGTTCCATCTCAACATCCAACATACTAAGATTGAAGCATGCGTTTCTAAATGCCATCTCAACATCCAACATATTACACAATTCCATAGCACACAACAATCCAAAAACAGATCAAACAGTTAGCAAATGTCTGAATTAATAATTTGACCATTAAACTAAACGAATCCGGTGATTTAATGCAAAGATGGACACATTTGTAGTACCTTCATCACATGAACAGTTTCATATCTGTAACAGAAACAAAATTTGATGCATCAGGATAATGTTCAAGGAAATGTAAATATTCCCCAAGAAAGCATATCAAAGAAAAGTGTAACAAAAATGTAAAATTTGGCACCTTTATTGTTCGTAATAGCAGGATGGCATCAACTTTCAATCCTGGCACAAAGCCAACAGTCAAAAGGATGTCATAGGTCACATCCTTTGCTGGTATAGAGCAATCTTCATCACTTCCATCACCACAAACCTCTCCCCACCTAACCTAAACAATCACATTTCATCTGAAATCAGTAAAGACTTGAACTTGCTGCAAATTAATAAACAAAAACATGGCATACACGAAAAACACAACCACGAAACCTCTTTGAATTCATGGGTAAGAGCATCTCTTCCAAAAATTCCACTTGAAGTAGAAATGATGAATGGAACACTGGACCCCAATTTTTTTTTTATAACTGTAATTTCAAACAAACAACAAAAGAAAATCCGTAATTTGCTTCTCTTAATTAAAATGTATCTAAATTATATACTAATTAAGATTAAGGTGTTTATATGAGTAAGAACACATACATGCTTGCAAATGTCATACGAGACCCAGTTCCAATATTAGCCACAACCAAATGAAGCCGTATCGGCTCAGCGAGAACCTTCTCGATAACCTCCTTCAACTAAAATTCATCACTCCTTCAACCGCTAACTATCCCCACAATCTGCGAATCGATATCGCCGAGAATCTTCTTCACGGCGGCTAGATCCGCGCGCTGAGCCGCCAAGTGGAGCTCCGTGTTGTTGTGCCGCCCGGTGACCTGCTTCAAGTACTTCTTCTTCCCCGCCTGGTCCATCCGCTTTCCGGAGTTGGAAAGCACCAAAGCCGGCGCCGACGTCGTGGAAGACGGAGACGGCGATGGCTCCGCCAGAGAGTTCTGGTTTGGCTGTGCAGTCATCGGACCCTTCTCTAAATCCCCATCACCTCCTACAAGTGAACACTGAAGTCGTGTCGTGTCGGAGAAGGTGGACGGAGGAGCGGCGCCGCGAATTTGAGAAAAGGTTGGAGTGTTGGAGAGATTGAGATTTGAGACTGAACACTGAAGTCTGAAACTGATTTGAAACCTAGGTTACAAATTAACGGTTCAGATTGAATGATCGGTTATCATTCAATCTCAACCGTTGATTATAATATGAAACGGGCCGGTCCGGGGCCCCGTTTTTCTAAGGTGTAGGAACCGGCCCGCCCCGTAAATAACCATGCCCCGGCCCGCCCTGCCCCGTTTGTTCCCAAAAAAAAAGGGATCCGGCCCGTACCCGCCCCGAACCTACACTACCCGCCCCTACCCGCGGTTCCTTTACCCGTTTGCCCACCCCTAGTTAAAGTTGAGGGATCATTGTTACATTTTTTTTTTTCATTTGGTTTTCCATATTTGCTCCTTGATTCAGCCTCAGATGTGTGACACTGACTCATTTTGACAGAAGTTCTAACAGAGTTGATGAAAATGACTATAACTGTACGTTTTGATGAGTTAAAGGACCAATAGTCATGAATTTTTAATTGAGGAACTACTATTCTAATTTGGTTAAAGTTAATGGACAATTTCTATAACTTTTTCTTATGGGGAGGAGGGGGGGTGGGGGGTGGGAGAGGTTTGAGGGTGGGAACTAGTGGTTTAGCAAGACTTGGGGCCTTTTATAGTCATTTTGGATCGTTTTAAACTCGGGCCATCATTGAACAGTATATGTTTACGATTTTGCATATTAAGGCCCATTAAATGGGCCCGCTCGGTTTGGTGAGAACAAGAGGCCCAACCCATCTCAGAAAAGGTCTAAAAAAAACCCATGCAGAGCTTAAAGCGATGATTTGAGAAGACGAAAGCAAACTGGTGCTCAT